TGGTGTAATGGCACTTTGAATCACAAATGAAACATTGACTATTCTTTGGCCATTCTCTTGCTGTAAGTGCCAAATTCTCTTCACTTCTCAAAATTACCTAAAGCATTTTTGTCCTCATTTCTTTTAGTTACCATTTTTCTTTCATACTGTTGCCTGCAACCTATGTCTAGATGGTCTTGCTAGTCTGTACACATTGTTTCCTCAATTTGTTGTATAGTTTATTGCACCTCAAGTTCTGCTGGAAAGGAATGCTCTTCAGGGAATTTTTTTTTTAATTCTTTCAATATTTGTTCTAATAAGCTGTTCCATCAACAACACTGGCATCTATCCGACAATGTGGAAAGTTGCCCGGTATGTCCTGTACAGAAAAAGCAGGACAATCCAACTCCTCGAGTTACTGCCCTGTCAGTCCACTCTTGATCATCAGTAAAGTGATAGAAGGTGCCGTCAGCGGTGCTATCAAGCAGCACCTGCTCAGTGATGCCCAGTTTAGGTTCTGCCAGAGTCACTCACCACCTGACCTCATTACAGTCTTGGTTCAAACATGGACAAAAGAGCTAAATTCCAGAAGTGAGGAGAAAGTGACAGCTCTTGTAATCAAGGCTGCACTTGACTAAGTGTGGTAACTAGCGAAACTGGAATCAATGAATTTCATGAGGAAAATTCTGCACTGTTTGGAGGCATACTTGGCACGTCGAAAGGTAGTTTTGCTTATTGGAGGTCAGTCATTTCACCTCCAGGACAGCTCTGCAGGAGTTCCTCACGGTGGTGTCTTGGGCCCAACCATCGTCAGCTGCTATATCAATGACCTTCCCTCCATCATAAGGTCAGAAGTGAGGATGTTCGCCAATGTTTGCACAATGTTCAGCACCATTTAGAACTCCTCAAATACTGAAGCAGTCCATGTTCAAATGTAACAAGACCTGGACAACATGAGGCTTCGGCTGAAAAGTTGCAAGTAATATTCGCACCACACAAATACCAGGCAATGACTATTTCCAATAAGAGACAATCTGACCACCATCCCTTGACATTCATTGGTGTTATTGTCACTGAATCGCCCAGTATCAATATCCTGTGAGTTACCATTGACCAGAAACTCAACTGGACTTGCCATATAAATATAGTGGCTACAAGAGCAGGTCAGGGGCGAGGAATAATCCTCAATTGCATGGATGAATGCAGTTCCAATAATGTTCAAGAAGCTTGATACCATCCAGAACGAAGCGGGTGGGTTGGTTGGCGCAAGATCCACAACATCCACTCCCTCCACCATCAACGTTCAGTAGCAACAGTGTTTATGATCTACAAGATGTGTTGCAGAAATTTACGAAAGATCCTTAGATAGCACCATCTAAACCCTTGACCATTCCATCTGGAAGGATGAGGGCCGCAGATACATGGGAATACTCTTACATGGAAGTTCCCCTCCAACCCATCCACCATCCTGACTTGGAATTGTACTGTTGTTCCTTTACTGTTGCTGGGTCAGAATCCTAGAATTCATTCCTTGGGTCGGCGTGTGGAGCGTGGTCTGGGGTGGTTCAAAGGGCGAGTTGCTACCACCTCTTCGGGGGATGGGCAATATGCCTGCGTCCGCAAAAAAAGTGTTATCTGCAAATTCAATTCTCATCAACTGTAGAAGTCTGTCCAAGTTCACTACTTTGCATAATGTAATAATTTAGTTTGGGGAACTTGAGTGAAATTTCTGCAGTCTTGCATATGATTGAGTGAATTCCATTATGTACTTCATTGGAATTATCTTCACTCTTTCTAAATCTGGCAAAATCTGACAATGCTTCGTAAGCGGTTAGTAAGTCTTCTTTTGATAAATTTTATCCAAAAATAATTAATACTTTATCCAAACCTTCATCCTGTCCATTTCATCAATTTCTAATTCTTAACAAAAAGCTTTGCCCTTATCCTGCTTTTGTATGGTGGTGAAAGTTAGAGTCATAGATATTTGCACTATAGAGGAGGCCATTCAGCCCACATAAGTCAACAAATATCTAACTACTCTAATCCCATTTTCCAGATCTTGATCCATAGCCCTGGTGGTTTTGGAAGCACAAATGAATGTTCAAATACTGTTTAAACAGTATTTCAGTATTTAGTGGATTCAGAGTCTCTGAATCCACCAAACCTTTGCACAGTGAGATCCAGATGGCTAAAAACACACTTCTTTTCAACTTCCCTCTTGGCCTTCTATCTGTTACATTAAATCTATGCCCTCTGTAATTGACCTCTCTACTTTGGGAAAAAGTGCCCTCCAATCCACTTTATCTGTGCCCCTTGAATTCTTATACACCTCTATCAGGTCTTCTCTCAACTTTTGTTACAACAAGGAGGACAATCCCATCTTATTCAATCTTCCTTTCTAATTCAGACCTTCCAACCCATGCAGCATCCTATTAAATCTCTGCATCCTCTCTAGTATATTGACATTCTTCCTATAATGTGGTGATCACAACCGCATTCGGTACTCAAGTTGTGGCCTCACCAGCTGTTTTTTTTCTACAGTTCCAGCATAAACTCCCGGCTCGTGTGTTCTCTGCCTCACCTGATAAATGCAAGTATTCTATATGTTGTCTTAACCACGTTATCTACCTGCCCTGATAACAGGGATCTGTGGAAATGCACACGAAGGTCCTTCTGATCTTCAGTACTTTCCTGGATCCTGTCTTCCAGATTGTAATACCTTGGTTTGTTTGCCTTCCCCAGTACCGCAGACTTTTTCACCTTGAATTGTATTTGCCACTGCTTTGTCAGCCTGACTAGTCCATTGATATCCTTCTGAAGTTTAGAGCTATCCTCCTCACTATTTGCCACACTATCAATGTTTGCGTCATCCACATACCTACTACTATGAAGTCCATCATTAATGCAGTAAGGGTCCAGTAGCAAGCCCATTGGAAATTCTAGCCATAGAAACATCCATCTACTCTCACTGTCTGCTTCCTGCCTCTCAGCCAACATTGGTTCCAGTGTCACTTTGCCTTAGATCCCATGGAATCTTACTTTCTTGACTCTTGTGACATGAGGAACCTTACTTTGCTAAAGTCCAAGTTGACAATATTAAATGCATTACCCTCATCAACATCTGCTTACCTCCTCAAAAAATTGATCAAGCTTGTCAAACACACCCTCCCTTTCACCAATCCATGCTGACTATCACTGATTAATCTGTGTGTCTGCAAGTGCAGGTGTATTCTGTCACTTTATAATAACTTGCCCACCACCAAGTTCCAAGGCCATAGTTGCTTTTTCAGTAAAGTTGTAACCTGGATCCAGATAGTAACTTTACTTTTCCACTGGCCATGGACTACAGCTATTCAAGAAGGCAGCTCACCCACCACCTTCTTATTGGCAACTATGAATGGGCAATAAATGCTGAACCAGCCAGTGACACACACACCCCATGAATGAATGAAAAAAGCTCGCGTTCAGAAAACAGGGCTGGGTAATCATACTCTAAAATTTTACATTTTGATTTAACCAACCTCTGTTACCAAGTTAAATACTCTTAGACAAAGTCCAAGGATACTCATTCTAGTTACAAACTTATTTTAATCTGCACACCAGAATGAACCTCAGCCACCACCTGGCTGATTCCCTCTAATACACATTTGAGTACTCACTCAACCTGTTCGGATGTGTTGTGACACACCCCTTGAACAGGTGGGACCTGAACCCGGGCTTCCTTGCTCAGAGGAAGGGATATTACAACAGTGCCACAAGAACCCTGATTTGAATATTGTCATCATTAACTAATTAGTTAACAACATTTGTTTGCCTTCTCAGTTTTAGCTCCTAGGTATTTAGCATCCTATTAATACAATTAGATACTAACAGGGGTTAAATTATTTTTTTTTCATGAGCTACGTTTTGATTTTCAGGCCTAAGTTTTCATTGTCAGTAACTCATTAGTAGGCAATGCAGTCGGGTAATAACAATAGCCCCTTACCAAAGCCTATTCCCCTTTACTTGATTGAGGTCTGAGGTGGCAAAATCAGCCACCTTCTTTGGATCTAAAATTGATAAAAGCTATAAACAATGGTGACACAAAGACAATTGTAAGTTCAATCACCTAGATCATTAACATGTCACGAAAGGCAGAAAATAATGAAGAGATTAATAGAATGCTGTTCTTTAAGAAACTAGAATATAAGGGGCTTTAGCTGTACAAAGCTGTGGTTAGACCATAATTGGAGTGTTCTGATCAGTTTCGGGCATGATAGTTTTCCTTGGAGGGAGCACAGCATATGATACCTGACCTACAATTCTTAAATCATGAAGAGGGATTGCACAAACCAAGCTTGAATTCCTGGAATTTAGAGGTGAATGGGTGGTTTGATTGAAATTTTCAAGGTATTGGGGGAACAGATAGGGTAGATAGAAAGAAACTCTTTCTGCTGGTTAGGGAGTCTAGAACTGGAAGCATAGTCCTAAGATTTGAGCCTAAATCGTTCAGCAGCCTAATTGGTGTACAGTTGTTTAGAACTCTCTTCAGCAATGGGAAATTGTGAAAGAGCAATCATTAAATTTAGAACAAATATTTGTTAACCAAAGGTATTATGTTATATGGAGCCCTACCTAAAATAGATGTTTGGTACAACAGAATGGCTTGCTAGGCTGTTGTGGGGTCTGTAAAGAGTCAACTGGATGATTGTGACCAGACTGGGTGACAACAGCAATTTCCTTCCATGAGGACTTTAGTGAACCAGGTGGAGTTTTTATTAAATTTACGACAATCCAATGACTTTGTTGTCACCATTACACAGGTTTATTTAATTAACTGTATGTGTAAATGTCCCAGTTTCTGGGATTTGCTTAGTGATTCTGGATTACTAATCCAGAAACATAACCACTGTGCCACTGTACACAGTTCTTGACTGCAATTGTTTCTTTTCTGTTGTTAGCCACATTGGAACCGATGGTTCAACGTTTGCTCCTTTTTGTTTTTTGCAGGTTTACATTGAGGACTCACTTGGGGAACGTATCTGGGTGGACAGTCCCCAATGTAAGACATTTGTTGAGAACATTCAGACTGCTTTTGGTACAAAGATGCCTCCAAAAAGCATGCTGCTCCAAGCAGATGGTGGCAAGATTGGTGGTGACCTCAGTGCAGGTGAGAACCAAATGCTCTCAGGCATGATTGTGGGATTCTAAATGCTATGTGGTAGAATTAAGCAAAATAACAATCAAATGAAAGTGGAAAATATGCAGTTCGTCCATCGGAATCAGTTTATGTGCTCATCCAGCTTCCCCTAAAATGTCTACATGTTATGCACCTCCACAATGCAATGTGATACTGTGTTTCATATTCTGACCACTTTCGAGGTAAAGAATTTTCTTGTGAATTGCTAATTGGAATTATTAGCAACAATTTTATACTTATTGTCCCTAACTTGTGAATGTATTGTGGTGATCGCTCTTGTTATACTGACCATCCTGCAGGTGGGAGTCCACATCCTTCCACACCAGATGATGATGATAATCAGACCGAGCTGCTTATTGCAGAAGAGAAACTGAGTCCAGATGTAGAGTCAGGCCAGGTGATGCCCAGGTAAGTGCATTTCTTTTATCTTACGGTAGTCATGCGAAGGAATGGTCAACCGGGTAAGAAGACAACCATGCAGGAGGAGGGTCTGAAGCCTGAGGTTCTGAAATGTATTATAGCTTGATGTCTAAACATCTGATGAATTAGCTGAAATTCAGTGTTATTAAGTAGAGTGACAGAAATGCATTTTGAGCAGCAGGTTATGCTATTCCCTCGCCTGAGGGGCACATGTAAACAACAAAATGAGTCTGTAATGGTTGTTTTGCCACATACAAACCCTCAAAAACGACAAGAGTTGCAGGTTGGGACTTAGGTTGCCAATTTTAGCTTCTTGGATGTGACAATGTAAACCGGGAATAAGAGTGAAGCGATGAAAGTGATCTGATGTTTATTGCTGTCTCTAATATTCATTTTACAAAATGTGCAGAATGCTTTGAGAACCTTGGTTTAGAGAATGAATTATTCAGCTGTATGAAATCTTTTATACACTCAAAATCCATTTTCATAATCATTACAGATTAGATTCTGTTTTTATTTCATTGGACTCCTGAGGTTCTTATTTTCCCAGTTGCTATAGGGAATGGCATTCTATGATTCTCTCTGCTTCTAATTAGTTGCTGCTGTTTCATAGTGATGGAATAAGTCAAATAACCTGGTGTTAACTGGCATTTTGGGAGAACATGTTCTGCTATTACGTCCTTTTTGTCTTCTCTGATAACTACAGGCCTGGAGGCTTTGGTAGTCCTTTGCAAAACATAGAAAGACCATTTTAAGAGCTCAGTTCTTGCTCATGTGAAACAACGGTCCATACATTTGGCTGTCTTCCAATGTTGCAAGAACTCATCTACCCATCTCTCTCGCTTGCTCTTTTTTTTTTAATCTCTCTCTCCAGTATAACAAGCGTGATTTAGAAATGTTCTTTTTTCTGATTCTTTCCCTGTAGGTATGAGGACTTAGCTGAGAGTGTGGAGGATTATGTTATCGACATGCTTCGCGATCAGCTCAACCGGCGCCAGCCCATGGATAATGTCTCACGGAACCTGCTGCGACTACTCACCACCACCTGTGGCTATAAAGAAGTCCGTTTGATGACTGTTCAACGGCTGGAGATGTGGCTGCAGAACCCTAAGGTGGGACGTCATTGGGTGAAAGAGAACTAAAGGTCACGAATTACACTTTCATCTAGCATAGAATAAAGGAACTTTGTTTTATTGAAAATAGCATCTGAGAAGAGAAACATGCATTTTATGTTGTGAAACACCCTACTATTAGACCTCAACTTTTTTACGGACGTAATGTAGTGAAAGAAACGTTAACCATGCTTAACCAAATTTCAAACCATTTTTTTCTTCCCCCCCCCTCCCAACTTTTGATGTAGTGATGGTGTGTCCATAGTAGTTACAAGCTTGCATTGTAGTTCCAAGTTGTGTACTAGGAACTGAATCAGGAATGCTCTGGAATTTCACATGGAAATCCTTTGAATCATCAGATAATTAACCCCATTGAGCATATTATTAAAAGTATAAAAAATTGCTTAAAAGCAACTCTGAAGCAATGCAAAATAAACATTCATAAATGGCAACAATTTGTTCAAGATGATGAGCTTGACAATAAATTATAAGGCTAGTCCAGCAATAGAACCTGTTGCATTGCTGGTACTAACTTTAAATTTGAGTTGAGGAAGTTGCTTTGAAGCTTCGATAACCTGGTGTTCAATCTGTACCTGCTCACATCGAGCAAAAGATGCAGTCATCAAAGAACTCACTGTATAGAAAGTGAAATAATCTTAAAGGGCTCAATTTTAAACTATTCATCCTTGTTTTCAAATCCCTGTCTGGTTTCAGCCCTCCCTATCTCCGCAGCTTCCAGTTCTGGTGTTCTACAAATTCTTGACTTTGATCAAACACTATTGGTGACCATGCCTTCAGCTATCTAGGCCCCAAAGTTTGAAATTCCTTCCCTAAATACCTCTGGCATTCCCTCGTCCCTTTAAGGATCCCTTTAACTCTATTTGACTAATTTTTTAGTCGCTGTCTTGATATCTACTGATGTGGCTTGGTATCACATTTTGTCTGATAATATTCTTTTGAACTGATTTAAACTATTTTTCCACATTAGAGGTGGTATTTAAAGGCAGGTGTTGGCCTCTTCAATGTTGAAGAACGATATATATCTCATTATTATTCAAAGTGGCATAGTGATGATGTCACTAGTAATCCAAAGGCCCAGGCTAATACTCAGATGGTGGAATTTAAATTCAAATCTTTGTAATTGTGGACTTAACATCATGGTCACCATTATTGACATTCATTTTTACTAGAAACTGATTGAGGACACTTATGTCCTTCAGTGAAGGAAAACTGTTGTCCTTACCCAGTCTGTCCTACTTGTGACTCCAGACCCACTCTTGACCCTTCGAAGTGCCTGACAAAACAATCAGTTCGAAGCCAAGGAGGGATGGGCATGGGCAATGCTCACGTCCTATAGCAGAATAAGGAATAGAATAAAAGTTTGAAAAAAAGGCTCTGTCAGTGATACCTGTGTAAATGTAATGGTTTATTGTTACGTTTTTTTTTTTGCCTTCCCATGAGCCAAATTTTATTAAATGTATTCTACTTATAATCTTTAGTTTGCCTGTTGAGCTCGCCAGAGTTTATGAAAGGAGAGATTCTAACCACATTGGTATGTCTTGCACGTCCTAATTTAATTCTTTGTGTAACGATTCACTGCCTGTCTGTCTGCTAGTTGACCCGCCCAGCTCAGGACCTGCTGATGTCGGTCTGCACCAACTGTTCTACGCATGGGACAGAGGACATGGAGGTTATGTCGAATCTCATCAAAATCCGCCTAAAGCCTAAAGTGTTGCTGAACCATTACATGCTGTGCATTAAGTGAGTAATTGAACTACCAGCTGTCCTGTTAACTCTACCCCGAAGGGATTAGGAAGCTAGACAGGCTACAGAGGCCAAAGGGAAGCAATCTTAGAGCTCAAGAAGATGTTTCTATTCAAAATCAGGGTGCCACAGATATAAGATTGTCACAAAAAAAAATTTAATAGGGAATTCAAGATAAACCTTTTTACCCAGTGAGTGTCAAGCATGAGGTGTTCACTACGGCAGCGGGTTATTCAGTTGAATAGAGGAAGCGACAGAAGTACATGAGGGAGAAAGAAATAGATGCGTATGCTCATAGGATTAGATGATGAGGGATAAGTGGAAACTCATGTGAAGCATAGACCAGTTGGGCCAAAAGGCTTTCTTCAGTGTTGTATATTCTTTTAATAAACCTTAATTTTAAAAATACTTTCTACATTCTGCAATTTCTATCACACACTTAACTTCAGTTTGAATTGATGTAGAATCCTGCTCTGTGCAATATGGTTTGGTGGTTACTAATGTCCAGGTTTGGTCCTGGATGGTGACTCTGTATGCAGAGACCAAGGCAATATCTCAATCTTCGAACACGTTGGAGGTTCTGTCCATGGGTACTGTTCGATCTTAGTTATGCCTTTAGCAGTAACTGAAGCAGTCATTGTGAACCCATTAAAATTTCCTACAGCAATATATAAGAGGATGCTAAACACCATCCCTTTGGGGCTGGAATAGAGTCCAGTTAAAAGTATGGACAACACAGCACACAGACAATCCACTGCACCAACCACTTCCTCAACAGATTGCTGTTGATGCTGAAATGTGTGATGGTGTTAGACCAGACTAAAGTGGAGTAGTTTGCAAATAGAAATTAATTTTGTTAAGCGAATGTAAATACCAGTTGAATCATATAATACATAAGGAAGCAAGAATTATCTAGTTGGTCCAGATTTTCTGCTCTTTGCCTTGCAGTTTTACACTTCACGTAATTATCCAATTCTCTTTTGAAAGTTATTATTGAATATGTTTTCACCACCTCAGAGTGTTGTGTTGCAGATCATATGTTATTGATTTTTTTCTGTATTATCATGTTAATCAGTGCCTTGGTTTAATCCTTTTATCTTGTGATTTGCTCTCAGGGAATTGCTGAATGCTCATCGGGATAACTTGGGGACACTGGTAAAGTTTGTGATCTTTAATGAACTGTCAAATGCACGGAACCCAAACAACATGCAGATTCTTTACACTGTGTTGCAGCACAACTCTGAACTAGCCCCCAAGGTAAGCCCTGCATGAACCTTCAATGTGTAGTCAATTGTGATGGATCTGGAGGTTCATACACAGTAAACACAAGGCAACATGTATGCCAAAGCAAATATATTATCCACATACTAATTGCACAATTTTGTAAACAATAAAATAATGTCTTGGGTCAAAACAGTTGGAAAATGAATAGCTTTCCTCCAGCAACTGGTTTGAGAGCAGTGGCCCTAGAACTGGTGTCAGCTGATAAGTGAAGGGACTGTGTCAGGGTCATAATACAGAGCCACCACTGATTGTACAACTCATTTATTGGCAACATCAGAACACGAATACTCTAGAATTCCCAGAGTAATTATAATGTGGGACTTGGGAGTTATTGAGTCAAAAAGCATAGATACATTTAGCATGAAGTTAGAGGAACATGAGGGAGAAAGAAATATAGAAATTACTGATGGGATTGAATGAAGCAAGGATGCAGGAGGCTTGTGTGGTACCTAAACTAATTGGCTCATTGACCAGTTTCTGTACTGTATAGATTCTATCAATCTCATTCCTGTAGAAGCTAAACAAAATACAAGGAAGTAAATTGTCCGTGTTCATTATCTGGTGTCCCCACCTCTTTCCTTGTAACTCCCATATCAACGGCACTGAAGTTTGCTGTAACTATTGCTCTGAGTGTGGGCTGATCCATTATTGTTTTAAACAATTCCGTAACTGTGTATTTGTTAGCTAGTTAATGATAGGCTGCATGTGATTTGCTTGTACAGGTTTGTGCAGAAGCTGGGTTGTCTTTGTACTAAGGTTGCTCTCTGTGTTTCCTTCTATTAGTATCTGGCCATGGTGTTCCAGGACTTGCTCACCAATAAAGATGACTACCTTCGTGCGTCTCGAGCATTGCTGCGGGAAATTATTAAACAAACTAAACACGAGATCAACTTTCCATCCTTCTGTCTGGGTCTGATGCAGGAACGGAAGGAGCAGACATATCTAGAAATGGAGTTTAAGGTGGGTGCTGGTTTGTAGTGCAGGCATGTAGTATAGGATGAAATGGGGGCTAATTATGTTCTGACTCTGTCTGTTAGGGAAAATCATTCAGCAGAACCCAGAGGTGCAGAAGTACATAACCTTCTCTTTGTTAGAATTTTATCCTTTGCATTCCTCCTTTGTGATGCTGCCATACAGCTCAATTACATTCCTCTCAAAATCTCAGTCAAGTGGCCATTCTTTGGATGGGAGCCAGCAGCAGCCACTGACAAGTTACTCCCACCACCAGCTATGATCAACTATAATGTCTCTCTGCCCTCTTGGTTAAGACAGTAAAGATCTGCAGTATTCTGTGATCAGATTGAATGGTGGAACAGGCTCAAGAATCTGAATGGTCTGTTCTAGTGTTTGTATGTGTTGCTCAGAATCACGTCAGTTAGCAATTTGGTGAGTTGTTTTTGTAGTAAACTTATTTTGTTTCTATATAAATAATACAGTTCTGCATCAGTGTTAGATCTCACTGTTCGGCAATATAGGGGGAGCACCAGGATTGTGGTGATCCACAGACACAGGCGTTCTTCAGTGTTTTGGTTAGCACAACTCCAAGCGGCAGCAAGAAGGATGGCCAATAGAAGAGTAGAATCAACAGCACTTCTGTCTCCATCCCATTTGATAACTTGCCATAATTTTATAGTGTGGCATTGGCTGGGACTGTGGAGAGTCTGCATTCACAGATGAACTCAGGATTCTGAGTTCAGGTTTTTTGGTGCAGGAGTCCACAAGGAAGCAAGATGAACAAAGAACAAATGAGTGCAGAAATGACTCATGAATGCTACAAAAAAGATTTTATTCATTTAATATTTCTTTTTCATATTATTTACATGAGAAGACAAATGCCTTTTGCAGCACAGCATGCTCACTCACTCTCTTGGTTGTATAGGAACGCTTTGTGATTCAGGTGACAGACCTGCTGACCCTGTCGATGATGTTGGGGATTACAGCTCAAGTGAAGGAAGCGGGGCTTGCTTGGGACAAAGGCGAGAAGAAGAGTAAGAACTGACATTGGACAGCTTGTTTCTGGGAATTGTGCTCTTGGACATGTCCAACAAACTATCTTAATCAGAAATTGGTCATGGAAAAGTGCATTGATATATTGCCTTTCACAACCTCAGGATTTTTTTTTACAATCAGTGATGTAGTTTTTGAAGTGTGGCAATGTTATAATGCAGTGAATGTACCAGCCAATTTTCACCCACAAAGATTGGTAAGATGACAACAGGATAATCTGTTTTCATGATGTTGGTTAATACTATGGTATAAAATATTTTCAGGGAGTTCCGAAAACTACATTCCTATTGACTTCAAGGTTTAAATGTATTAACTTCAAGGAGGCAGAGCAGAAAGCATAAAGGCTGTGTTATTTAACTCGTCCTGCAAGGAGTTGGACGTTTTATTAATGTCCATTATCTGGATTTTCAGTTCCGACATTCTCACTGATGAAGCATATGCAGCATAGTCGGTTTGCATTTAGTCTATTAAAGAAACAAATTGGCTCAGTGCATCCTAACTCAGAAAAATGCAGGCTCAGGTCCTATGCTGAAGACTTGAATATATAATATGTTTGGAATATTGGAGAAGTTTTGAATTGACCACAGGTGCTGTTCTGTTTTTGGCAGAGACATTAAGCTGGGCCCCCATAGAGTCATACAGCACTGAAGAAGCCATTTGGACCATTGAATCTGTGCAAACCCATGTACACTAATCCCACTTTCAAAACTTGGCCCACAGCCTTGAGTGCTTTGACATTTCAAGTACTCATCCATCTACTTTTTAAAAGTCCATGATGTTTCCTCCTTCTACTACCCTATCAGTCAGTGCATTCCAGATTCCCACCACCCTCTGGGTGAAAAACCCTACCTGCAAACCGCCTCTAAACATCCTGCAAGTATATTCCTCCTTCACATACCTATGGAAGCTTTTAGAACTAGTTTGTATCCTTTGTCCTCCTTTACTGAAATCTGAACTGCTTCCAATCACCAGGTTTGCTGCTTTTCTTGGCCAATTTTGTATGCCCTTTCCTTGGATCGAATACATTCCTTAATTTCCTCTGTTAGCCACAATCAGAACACTTTTTCTGGGTTTTTTTTTTGCCAGACAGGAATGAACAATTTTTGCAGTTCATCCATGCACACTTTAAATGTTTGCTATTTCCTATTTATGATAGCCTGCTTGCATCTCATATCATTGTACTTTCCTTTGTTTAGGTTCAAATCCCCTCTTGTGTAGGTATGGAAGATCCTTTTCCCCCATTTAGAAGGGAAGCATGTCAGTTCTTCTTGGAATTATGATCCTTATTTATCCCTCATCTTAAAACTTATGACCTTTTTTCTAAACAACCTGTTCAGAGATGTTATTACATACCTCTGGAGCAGGTGGGTCTTGAACCCAGCCCTCCTGGTCCAGGGGTAGGGACACTACACTGCACCACAAGAAGGCCCCATGAAAACTTATAGAAAACAGATTATCTGATTGTTATCACATTGCTATTTGTGGAATTTGTTATGTTTAAATTGACTGCTGTGTTCCCTACGTTACAACAGCAACCATGCGTCAGAAAATATTTTATTTGGCTGGAAGTGCTTTGGAACACCTTGAGGTTGTGGAAGGTGTTATATAAATGCAAGTAATAATAGCCAGAGATATCAATAGATTAATACTAATAGAGTCTATATAGATCCTGCAAGACTCCATGGAATTTCTTCTCAGTAATTCAAAGATAAAAAGCTTAGAGACACATGATTACAGATATACTTTTAAATGAAACGGATTGAATTATTCTGATGGTGTTTTCCTTATTAAAGTTGTTTGATCCCCCGATAGCAGTGTGTGAATTAACTGCCATTAAATTTTGTGTTCCTATGGGGAACCCAATGTTAACAACTCTATATTAATGCAATAAATGAGAATCATGTTGCTGTCAGAAGCCTTTACAGAACAGTGAGAGATGATGAACGCCATTGTATTATACACTGCACTTTAAACTCAGGGCAGCATATGACCTGTTATCTGCCTATGTCCCCAGCTGATGCTGCACTTGATATCTTTGCTTATTTTGAAGCTATTTTTACCACAGCGTACTCGTACTGAAAAAGTTATAGAAATCTGATTTGGTTAAGTTCAGCACAGATGGGGCTGAATGCCTATTTCCATTCCTTTACTGCTCTAATATGAAAATTTAATAATACAGGCCATGGAACTCTCAATATTTACCTATACTTCCATCAGTTGGCTTCTACTTAAGGTAATAGGTCAAATGGTTAGTTGGCTTACTCTAAAATACTACTTGATCTTGATTGTTTGTCAGTTTATTTGCCAATACAAATACAAATGAGCAACTTTGATAGTAATGCTTATTTTAATCCAGGGAAATAGTATTAATGTAGTCGGTCAACTGTATTGCTGTTGAATGGCAGAGTAGACTTTGGGTCTGCTCTTGTATCTTATGTTCTTAGCTGCTTTGAGAAATCTAGTCAATGTATGTGTAAATGATACTTGCGCGCTCTCTCTCTCTCTCTCTCACACACTGTTTGTCTTTCCACTTCTTTTGGATTGAAGACCTGGAAGCACTCCGAGCGTTTCAGACTCAGATCGCAACTATTCAGCGCGATGCTGTCTGGTGGCTGCACACTGTGGTTCCCACCATCTGCAAGCTAAATCCTAAAGATTACATCCATTGGTACGTGCGCTGATATTCAGACCTACTTCAATGTAGCGTGGAGTACTCGGAAAACCACTGCTCCAACTGTAGTTCTTAATTAAAACATTACAGCCGGTAAATTTGCCTGTAATGTCAGCGTTTGACCCAGGCATTGTGATTCCTTCCTGAGTAAAATGCATTACTATTATGGCATAATAGGTAATTATCATTAGTGTGGCAAGTAAAGCTTTAGCTAGAATCGTTTTAAATATTAACTCTGTTTAGAAATAGTGTCACCATTGGCACCTTTTCTATGGATACCTTTCTAAACGAAACACTTTTTAAAAATCATCTTTGTCACTTCCTCAAAAAAGTCAATCAAGTTTTTGAAACGTAACCTCCCCTGCACAAAGCCATGCAGCCTGTCGCTAATAAGTCCATTTTTTATCATATGTAAATAAATCCTGACTAAGAATCTTCTGTAATAATTTTCCTGCCAGTGACGTAAAGCTCAGCGACCTGTAATTTCCCAAATTATGTCTGTTGTCCTTTTAAGCAAAAGAACAAAATGAGCTATTATTCAGTCCTCGGGGACCTTGTCTCTGTCAAGAAAGGACACAAAGATTTTGTACAAGGTCCCAGCAATTTCCTCACCTGCCTCTTTCAATATTCTAGGATAGACCCCATCAGGCCCTGGGGACTTGCCTATCTCAAAACACCCAACACCACCACCATTTTGATATCAACATGCCCTATAATATCAACATACCACTCTCTAGACTCACCATCCAACACGTCCTTCTCCTTTGTGAATACTGATGCAAAGTATTCGTTAAGGACCTCACCCACTTCCTCTGGCTCCACACATAAATTCCCTCCTTTGTCTTTAAGTGGACCTACTCTTTCCCAAGTTACCCTCTTGCTCCTTGTAAATGTATGAAACGCCTTGGGATTTTCCTTAATCTTGATTTCCAAGGTCATTTCATTGCCCCTTTTAGCCCTGTTAACTCTTTGTATAAGTTCTTTCCTGCTTTCTTTATGTTCGTCAAAGGGTCTGTCTGGCTTCAGTTTCCTAAGCCTTAACGTATGCTTCCTTTTTCTTTCTGACTAAGCTCTTTCTTGTCATCCAAGTTTCCAGAATCTTGCCATCCTTATCTTTATTTTCACAGGAATATGCTGGTCCTGAACTCTAATTGACGGGCCTTTAAAAGGTTCCCACATGAGTTTACCCTCAAACAGCTGCCCCAATCTACATTTCCCCAGATCCTGCCTAATATTGTGGTAGTTACCCTCCCCACAGTTTAGTACTTTCACCTGAGGCCTACTCTAATCCTTATCCGTAAATAACTCAAAATGTACGGAATTATGGTCACTGTTCCCGAAATGCTCCCCTTTTCCACTGAAACTTCGATGACTTGGCTGGGCTCATTCCCTAGTAACAGGTCTAATATGGCTGCTTTCCCAGTTGGACTATTTACATATTACTTCAAGAAACCCTCCTCGCACTTCACATATCCTCCCCCAACCATCCAAGCCCCTGGTGCTAAGGGAAATCCAGCAAAATATGGGAAGTTAAAATCACCCACCACGAGTTTTCACATTTTTCCATACTCTGCCCACATATCTGTTCCTCTATCTCCTGCTCGCTGTAGTGGACCTGTAGCACAATACCATAAAAGTGATTAATTGTACCGTTCCTATTGTTGAACTCTACCCAAATGAGCTTTCCATGGCGTCCTCCCTCAGTCAGCTGTGACATTCTCCCTTATCAATAATGCAACTCACCCACCTCTTTTGTGTCCTTCTCCATCACACTGAAAACATCTAAATCCTGGAAAATTAAGCTGCCAGTCTTGTCCCTCTCAACTAATTCTCTGTAATAGCCACAACATCATTGTTAGATGTATTAATCCAAGCTCTAAGTTCATCTGCCTTACCTGTCATACTTGTTGCGTTAAAACAATACATTTCAAGATGCCAGTCCTGCCATGTTCATTAATCTCTTCCTGTTAGCCTTACTGGCTTTAGTCTCTAAATGCTCGGTCATTTCACTTGTTGACCTACTTCTCTGGTTCCCATCCACCTGCCACACTAGTTTTAACCCTCCTGAGTGACACCAGTAAAACTCCCTGTATAGGTTCCACCAGCCCTGGAAGACATCCCAATGATCCACATAGCGGAAGCCTTCGCTCCTACACCAGCTGTTTAGTCATATATTTAACTGTACTGTCTTTTTATTCCTAGTCTTGCTGACATGTGTTTTAGTAATCCTGAGATTACAACCCTGTTTTAAAAGGACGTTGTACCTAGTAATATTGCTAATATTTTATATATCAAGTTTGAACCTAAATGAAATAGAATTAGAATTAGGTTTATTGTCACATTTGCTCAAGTACAGGGATACTTGAACATAGTGAAAAGTGTACAAAGTCGCCATTTCCAGCGCCATCTTAAGTACTAAGGTGCATAGGTACAAAATCTTAAATAGAAATTAGAAAAATAAAGAAATAAAGTTGAAGTTCAGCAGTACAGTCTTTCGAAAGCAGAGAAAGGGAGGTAAAAAGTAGACGAGGTTGGAGCAGACAGGTCTATGCTGGGCTTCATCTCAAGGCCAGAAGTCAGCGCTGGCTCAGCTCACTGCCACCGATGCCATCCGAGGACAGGAGCTAAGTAGAAAGGGGGAATAAAATGAAAAGAGAAGAAATGAAGAAAAGAAACGGATGGAGCAGAGGAGCTCCTGCTCAGGAGCCCTACTCCGCAGCCATCTTGGAAAATCTTGGAAGGATAATGAAGAGGGCTATTCTGAAAAGCAAATCATTTTGATATTCTGCAATTGTATTTGAATTACAGAATAATGGCATTTTAATACCCTCACATGTGTCATAGGTTTTCATTTTCATTACCACATGAATGTCATGAGCCACAATTGTGGAAAATCTAAATAAGCATTTCAGGGGTTGGAAGGAACAGAATGATGATATGATGATAAGGTTAGATAAAAAGTGGTGGATGGAGGCACGTGAGAAACCAGGTTGCTTTATTTCTTAACCAGTACAGACAGATGACCTTGAAAGGTACATCAATTTTATTTTCAATACCTAGTTTATTGTGGAGGGAGTAGAGACTCCTTATCTTCTCCATTCTTACGTGAAGTGGCCCAAGTCAATACCCTAGAGTCATTTGCCGACCTATTGGGATGTGTTGGTGTTAAACAATGCTTGCTGATCCTGTATCAATATTGTCTCAGTTGGTTCAGTTTCACTTTTTGGTTCAAAAATAAGCTTGACAACCATTCAGGATAAAGCAGCCCATTTGATTGGCACCATTTCCACAAGCATCCACTCCCTCCACCACCAATGCTCAGTAGCAGAAGTGTGTACTATCTACAAGATGTACAGCCGAAATTCACCAAAGATCCTTAGAGAGCATCTTCCAAATTCATGACTGCTTCCATCCAGAAGGACAAGATATATAGGAACACAACCATCTGCAAGGTTCCCTCCAAGTTACTCACTGTCTTGACTTGGAAATGTATTGCTGTTCCTTCATTGTCGCTGGGTCAAAACCCTGGAATTCCCTCCCTAAAGGCAATGTGGATCAAGCTACAGAGCATGGACTACAGCGATTCGAGGAAACAGCTTACCACCATCTTCTCAAGGGCAGCTAGGGACAGGCAATAAATGCTGGCCAGCCAGAGATGCCCACACCCCACGAGTGAACAAAAAAGAATTTTGGTTCAAAATCCATTTTACAGACAAACACTGGTTGACACTTTTGTTGAAGCACTGAGAAAGTTCAGCACTCTTGGAGGTGGTGTCTTTGGGATAAGGCATTAAACCAAGAGCCTATCAGCTTTCTCAGGTGGATGTAAAGATGCCATGGCACTACTCTGAAGAAGAGTAGGTAAGCTCTATCTTGTGACATGGCTAATAATTATTGCTCTGACAATAAAACGGATTTTCTGTTTATCACATTGTTGTTTGAAGGGCCTCACTCTCCGCAAATCAAATTTGTGTTTCCAATCAGAACTACATGAGAAAAATACTTATTTCACTGTAAAGTGTTTTGGGATGTTAGGAGGTTGTGAAAAGCACTACAGAAATGCAAGTTCTTTGCCTTGGAAGTTTAAATGAACTACAGTTGGTAGGCCATACTGCATTAAATTCTGTGCCTGTTTTTAAGCAAAATTACAACTAACCATCCTTCTTCTTGCAGTTTGCACAAGGTGCTCTTCACTGAACAACCTGAGACATACTACAAATGGGATAACTGGCCTCCAGAGAGTGATAGAAAGTAAGCACATTATTTTTAACAAGTGAATAGGACACTGATAGAGCACATACGTCATTCATACTCTGTTTGCTCAATGTTAGTGCAATTATGTAAAACAGCTTAAAAGCTTTTCATTGGCCTGATTGTTGCTCTGTAACTACAAGGCTGAGGAAATACATCTTTGCTTATTACTAGCTTCAGTTTTACTGAAGAGACTTCACACCAATTTGAAGACTGTTCACATTTTGACAGTGATTACAAATGGCACCACAACCGCTGAAATAATGTACAGTATTCTAAAACAATCTACAGTGTTCTAAATCAAAACTAATTTCCCTCTCACCCCATGTTAATAGATTCTTTTACAAAATTCCAGGTTCCGGATACGCAGCTTCATCAAAAATTAATGGGCTGTATCCTATCTGTGTACCAAGTTTTGTTGAAATCCATCAATTAGGTTTTTTAGATATATTGTTAACAGACAAACAGACAACAAGTGTGAACAAAAACATTACCGCTTCTCACCTTCAATTACAAAGGTATTCAACTATGTTCTCCTCTTAGGCTATGTTGCAAGGTACACTCTCAACATGCTGCTGAATCATTTCCAACATCTATTTGTGACTTTAGTTACCAGTTAAAAGGCAAGATTTTGGGTCCAGCCCTGCCCACAGTAATGAATGCCAGAATGGTACAGTGAGGATTCAGTACTCCGAGTAGAACGGAAACAGAAGCCAACAAATGCCCAGATGGGATCAAAGTCCTTGGTGATGCTTTCTAGAGGTTTAGTTTTTCTTCAGCATAATGAAACTGGCACGCTGCATCCTGTTCATTTCCATACAGCCCATCATTTAAACTGTAAATAAACAACAACAAATTGAATTAAATTTTTTGTTTATATAGGTAAATTGGGTTTAATCCCTGTTTTTTTGTCAGGGTGTTTAGACTTCGTTCATCTGGGGAAGCTGGATTTGTTCTCTTCAGTGGCGAATATCAAGAGGAGGCTTAGTAGTGATGTCATATTCTGACGAGTTTGGAAAAGTAATTAGGGAGAAATTTTGGGACAAACTGTAATCAGAGAGTACAGATTTAAGATAATTGGCAAAAGTTTCAATGGGAAATGAGGAGAAATTGTTTTATGCAGTGAGTTATGATCTGGAATGCACTGCCTGAAAGGGTAGTGGAAGATGCTTCAATAATAACTTTCAGAGGGAATTACATAAATAATTGAAAAAGAAAGATTTGCATGATAATGAGGAATAGTAGAGCTACAGGGTCTCATTGGATAGCACAATAGGCTGAACAACCACCTTCTGTTCTCTATTTCCTGAGGAAATCCAAGTACAAATACAATAAACACTAAAAAATACACCACAGCTTGAGGTTTTATTTCTAGAAGGATAGAATTGAATAGCAGGGAAGTTGTATTAAATTGAAGCATGATTTTAACACACTTAGTGCAGTTCCAGTCTCCATATTCTAAAAATAATATAGAAACAGGGGAGGACGCAGATGAGATTTACGCAGATGAGATTTACAAAGATGATACCACAGATGCATATAGATATCAAGAAAGGACGGGCAGGCTGAGTCTCTTCTCTTGTGAAATAAAAGGCTGAGTGTGACCAAATAATAGTGGCATTTAAAATTACGCATGGATTTGATACACAGTTAGAGTGGATAAAGAAAGTCCCCCCTTATGAGAAAGAACATAAGTAGGCCATCAATGTAAGGTAGTCACCAAGAAATCCTGGAGAGAATTCAGAAGAAACTTCTGTACCCAAAGTATGGGGAGCAGTTAAAGTGAATAATATAGTTTCATTTAAGGGGAAGGTGAACAAACGTATGAATGAGAAATGAGTAAAAGGGTCTGATGAAAAATTTTAATGAGGAAAGATGGGAGGAGGCTTCAGAGAACTGGATGGACCAAATGGCATTTTTGTGTGCCATGCGTCCTATGTAATCCAATGCAATTTTTTTCATCTCTTCTCAGTTTCTTTCTACGATTGTGCTCAGAGGTGCCACTCCTGGAGGACACACTGATGCGAATCCTCGTCATCGGGTTGTCGCGGGATCTGTCACTGGGGCCGGCTGATGCCATGGAACTAGCTGACCATCTAGTGAAACGTGCTGCGTCAGTGCAGGCTGACGGTAAGATGACCATGTGATTGAGGCCGGCTGGCTTTTATTACTTGTCTCTAGTGTGAGAGTAGAGAAGAAAATAGTGAGCTTTCTTTCTAGGCAGACTGCAGTTACTTTGAGGATTGCATTCTTCAACAACCTGTCCAGAATCAGATACTCCCCCAACCCCCTCACCTTTAAGGACAAGGTAAGTGATGTTCCCATACGCCTATCTTTAAGCTCCCCTCCAAGTTGCACATCATCCCAGCTTGTATGTATATCACTGTCCATCGTGATCACTGGACCAAACTCTTGGAACTCCCTGCCTAATGGAGGATTACAGTAATTCAAGAGGAAGATAAACAGCTATCGTTTTCTCGGGGCCAACTAGGAAAGGGTAATAAATACCAACCCTACTAGTGAAACCCATACGTCTGGAATCCATTTCCTTTCAAATGCCAAGGTGTGATCTGAAGCTGCAACAGTTGAAGACTACCTAAGCTATAGCATTTTATAAAACATCAATGTACAGTGCAGGAGCAGAGTGGTTGAACATTTGTGGCTGTTTTGGATATAGCATGAAAACTACAACCAGTGCATTTGTGGCAAATGTGACAATTTACAGCAGGCCATTTGACTCAACTGGTCTGTGCTGGTGTTTGCACTTTACATGAGTCTCCTTCTACCCATTTGCATTGAAACCTGCCAACATCACCTTTTATTCCTTTCCGTATGTGGCTGTCCAGCTTCACCTTAAATGTGTTTCTGCTATTTCCTGTTTGTATTCATTAAATAGCCTAAAGCAGTCAGTAATTAATTGCTAGAATTGCTGATTTTCTGCATGTTATCGACAGATACATGTTAAAATATTTGCTCATCCATTTTACTTGTGCTCGGTCCTTGGAATCTTCAATCATCAAAGGATAAGATTCTCTGTACCTACCCTATCATTTGTCATTTTAAACACCTTGACCTGCTCATACCTCAACCAATTGGACTAAAGGAAATGCAAACCTTTTTTTTAATGTAAACTCCTGAAAATAAAGACTCTAAGTAAGTATGTATGCATTAGTAAAGAGTTTGTTTTAATAAGTAAGTATTTATGATGTATTATGTGATTTGACCTGATGTTATCACTCTGGCAAGTGATTGCACAGATGCAGATGTAAAGCATAGTGGTAACCAAATGAGTAAAAACACTAGCCTCTCTACCAATACTTCTTTCTCCAATTATAAATGCCTTTCAGTACCTGATGTGCTTCCTTAAGTGTCTTACTCTTGCTCAATCATTCAATTGGTTTAACTCAGTGTGAACGTAAAGTAACACACATTTGATTTCTTTTTTATTTAAAAAAAATCCTGTCCAGATATATAACAATACATCTCTGCAGTAGGCATTTAAACACAGATCTTCTGGCCCAGAGGTATCACTGCACCACAAGAGTCGTTTACTGTGTGTGTGTGTGTGTGTGTGTGTGTGTGTGTGTGTGTGTGTGTGCGCGCGCGCATAGCGGTAAGCTGACATGTGAAGCATTTGTCTGCCAGAGGTGCTAACATCAAACCATGCACAACAGTAACCCACTGAGTAATTTCATAAGTCCCTGTGCCACTATTGCTGTCTCTAGTTATAAATGGACCTCGTTACAATCAGCATCCTTGACAAATGTAACGACCTATGTGCTTGTGTAAGGGTGTTTTTAAAATGAGAATGCTAAAATAGCACAAAACACTAGATATGCATAACAAATCTTTCTACATTTGAAGTAGAGAAGCCTAGCTCCTGAAATATTTTCAGGGTTCCAGTGAATGGTTCCTTCTGACAAGATTACCCCAAAACTTTCCCCATTTGTTTCCACATTAATTTGTTCCTATATTGTTTACAAGCAAGACATGAGATTTCTCCAGTTATTTCGTTGTTTCTCTTTCAGACCTGGAAGTTCTTCATGTGGAGAGGATTCAGTTGATTGACGCAGTTCTGAACTTGTGTACTTACCACCATCCTGAAAATATTCAGCTGCCACCAGGGTTTGTCTACTGTCCGATCATCTCATTCTGAGCAAAGCTGGTTTAGTTGACTTCCAAAATCTAGATGTCAAAACGGTTATGAGGGAATTAACCACAATTATAATATCTTTGCAACTAGAAAATAGATTGGTGTATTTTAACTGCATGTGACAGCCTTAGTGTCACATAGGCGTATGTGGAAACGTACCACAAAGAAGGAGACAATTCAGCTTGATCTGTCTGTGAACAGGTTATGACAAAGGGGGTCACTGGATTCGAAATCTTAACTCAACAGATGTTGCCAGACTTACTGTATTTCTCCAGCAGTTTTTATATACTAGATTGATACCTGGAATGACCAGTTATCTTGTGAGGGTAGGTTGGACAGGTTGGGTTTGGTATCACTGGAGTTTAGAAGACTTGAGGGCTGACATGATTAACGTGTATAAGCTCCTGAATGCTGTTGACAAGGTGAATGTGGTAAGGACATTTTGTCTCCTGGGTTCACCATTTTACAATGGGGGGGCGTGGTCACCCTTTACACTGAGATGAAAAGAAATTATTTCCTCCTTGGAAGGTTTTTGACTTTGGAACTCCGCCTCAGAAGGCGGTGGAGACAGATTCAGAATAAAGTCTTGTTAGGCAATGGAATCAGAGTTATCAGGAGTAGATCAGAATATTGAATTCAAAACGTAAACAAAATCAAACTGAATGGCAGAATAGCCTTGAGGGCCTGAATGGTCTACTTTAACCTACTTCATTTGTTCATATGAATGTATGATGCATAACGTACATAGAATACGTTACATGAAAGCAATGTACAATGTATACTCTGCAACAAATGTGACATAAACATACATGATATACATTCATATGTATGCATGATACAGGCATCTCTCTATTATATATCAGGAGTTCCCAATTGTTTTCCCACTGGGACCCTATTCAAAGCTAAAATATTGTTGTGACCCCTCAGTGAGAACTACAAGAGCATCTGGGGATATAGGCAGACCAGTAAGAATGGTTGAGTGGACAAACCTGTAAAGGCTGGAGTGGAGGTGAACAGTCCTGTAAGGGTGCATGGGAGGGTGAACTTCAGAAAATTATGGGGAGATTTCATGAGTTGTTTTAAAAGCATGTAAAACATTCTGTTTTACTGCTGCAGGAGCCAGGATTTGATTTCACTTGTTTAGGAGCCATGCGCAATTTGAAGATGATGCAAAGATTTAAAGCTTGCGACCCTGTCTGATCTTGACCGCCTCATCCTCATTCTGGAAGCCCTGTTTATATATATAATATTATAATGAAGAATATATAGAATACTGTGCATCAAAGCAGTAACGTCCAGATTCAGTTAATGCTTATAGTTCGCTTAAATATCTTGGTGTGTAACCTGAGCCTTTGAACATCCTCCCCAAGAATTATAACTTAGCTGTATAAATTATACCCCTTCTAACATACAGGAAAAGGCACATCAGTCTTGCTACATTACTGCACCCATTTTAGTTACTGTTAATACCTTCTTATGCTGTTTGATGTGAAAGGGCTTTTATTTTTTATACTCTAGGTATCAGCCACCCGCTCTGGCTATTTCATCCCTGTACTGGAAGGCTTGGCTTCTGCTGTTAGTTGTAAATGCCTTTAATCCACAAAATATTGGTGAGTTTCCAGACGAACCACAGTTGCTACTTCCTAAAACATGGTCAGCTCTTGCTTATCTGCACTGCTTATCTGATGTAGTTGCAAGTGCAAAAACCATCAGTGTTTCTCATATGGTTCATTTAGGCTTCTTTGCATTCAGCTTTGCAAATTGGTGATTTTTATGAGAAGATGTGAGTTATTCCACCTTGTGGTATTGTGTTAATAACACAGACCCAAAAGTTTCAGGCTTAAATTTCAGCCATTGGGAAACCTTAGGAGGTAACACAATCTTTAGGAACAATATCATGCTCGGCATCACTCCTGGGTGCTGATGACACCTGCTGTAATGGACAGTGCTTTTTAGTAAGGTCAGAATCTGACTCAGCTGTGACACACTGCACAGCTAAATACTTTGTCGTTGCTTACTGCTTTGTCCATACAGCCAACAGTAGCTTCATGATTATGCTGAGGAACTGGATGCAACTGAAAGTGTTGGTTTTCAATATAAAAGTGAAGAGAAACAGAAAATAATTGCAGACCAACTGGAATCATTACATAGTTCAATATTAGTGCGGATAAAGCAAGGCTTATGAAGGGAGAATAGATGCATCACTCATTGATATCATCTTTGTAAAGAAAAAGATTTGACAAGGTTATAAGTACCCCTTTCAAGAAGTGCATTGAAGGAAAAAGTGAATCTAAGCAGCGTCATGTGATGTTAAAGTACAAAAATTTGCATTGCTACTGTTAAACTGAATACTATAATAAATAATCAATGACTATACTTCAATTGTGTGATTACAACTAAACAAAATCAATGAAGAAATGTTAGTTTCCAATTATTGTACAATTTCTTGTCTGCAGGTTTGGCTGCATGGGAAGGGTACCCCACTCTGAAAATGCTGATGGAAATGGTGATGACAAAGTGAGTGATTTTAACATGGAATCAAACCTCATAGGGAGGGAGTTGATCCATGTCCATCTTTTCCTGAGGTGACTTTGGTCAGCCCATTATGAGAAGCAGTCCAAAGCAAGCTGCTTCTTTAAGGTGATGGAATGGAAATATATGTCATTCTGTGCTTTTATGTCTCATCATCAGCGGAAGATTTTCTGCATTCACTGTTTGTAGGTAAACTGTAAGCCACCTTTACATAAATCTGTTAATGATTTTGATACATGCAGAGCATGACTGAAATTCTCCCTCATATTATTAAACATGTAGTTATAACTGTCCTTTCATACCCTTAGAAAGTGAACTACAAAGTAACTTACTCCTTTCAATATGACTTGAAAAGACAATGATGCAAGACTCCTTTAAAGGCAGTTTCTCACCCCATAAGCTTGACACCATATGTAGGCTAACTTCTGTGCAGTGACACGCCAGGTTTTGAAAGTGTTTCAAGTTTTACATCTGGAGTGACTTGTTTGCTGCTGAGAAGCTTCTTTTGAAAGGTAACAATTTTGTTAGCACATTCAAAATTTACCATCTGGGGAGTGCATTTGTTGTGTATACGTACACTGGCATCAACCTATGTCCTGGTATCCAGACTATATATACTGCAGGTAGTGGTCTCAGATCATTAATATGATATAATCACAGGCTCATTAATATTGGCAGAGGCATAGAAACAAATTCACTTCCTACTCCCTAAATTGGTAACACAAAAATGTATGTAATCGCAATGTCTCGATATGTTTGGTCCCAGTGTTGGCTTGTTCTCACTTTTCTGTTCAGTCTGCATCCATCAGAACATATAATTTTTTATAAGATACAGAATTCAATTAGCCAGTTTTAATTACCTGCTGCTGGGAGTGTCCTCTTTTTGTATCATCCATTGTCCTCAGTGCTACAGAAATCAAGAAACGCACCATGTGGTAAAAGCACGTGATGGTAAAGTGTCCATAGGAGATAGGAAACTGAAAGCGTGAATTTAAAAAGGAGAAACTGAAAAATTAAGAAAAAATGTTGGGAAAATGCAGCAGGTCGATCAGCAAAAAAAAAGGTGGTTACAATGGTCTCAGTTGCTTATTCTCTACTGGAATCCCTGCTGATTTGAGGAACATGTGCGTCTGAAGTGAGTCCACCTGCCTTTTCTCTCTAAAGACGCTGACTGACCTGTTGAGTATTTCTGTCAAATTCCCAGCTCTCTTGGAAGGTGGAAGGAGGTTAGTGTGCTGCATGAGCAACAGCACAGGCCAAATAGCATGCTTCTATGTTTATATGATGTTCTGTACCTACTTTGGTAGGAAGAATCAAAAAGTAGTCTGTTATTTAAATGGAAAGAGCTCAGAAAAGTGCAGCACAGATAGATCTGGGTGCTTTTTACTATGAAAAATAAAAGGTGTGGGTGCAACAAGTAATTTAAAAGGCAAAAGAGATGTTGGCCTTCATTGCTATAATTTAAAAATAGGCAAGTCTTGTTGCAGCTGTAGAAGGAATTGGTGAGACTGCACCTGGGGTACTGTGTGCAACTTTGGTCCTGTATTTAAATAATTATGTACTGGTATTGGAAGCAGTTCAAAAGAGTTTCACTAGATTGATTCCTAGGTTGGAGAAGTTGACTTTTTAAGGGCAGCTCAATGTAAGGGCATTATTTATTACAGTTTTCAAAAATGAGAGGTGATCTTATTGAAACAACTAAGATTCTGAGGCTGCTTGACAGGGTAGATGATGAGATTATTTTTCTACTTGTGGGGAATCTCGAACTTGGCACATACTTAGAGAATAAGGGAACACTCATTCAAAACAGATGTGATGGAATTTCTTCTCTCTGAGGGTAATTAATGTCGGGAATCCTCTACCCAAATGGCTGTGGAGGCTAGGTCACTGAAAGTATGTACATTGGAGGTAGGTAGGTCTTTTGAAATATCAAGGAGCTGAGCGCTATGAGGAGTTAAGGCCTGAAGTGGATCAATCATGATATTTAAGAATGGTGGGCAGAATAGTCTGCTCTTACTCCCGTTTCTTATGTTCCTACATGGTCTACATAACTTGAGCAATTTAAACGACATGAGCAACTAGAACTTTATTCTATCCTTGTACTAAGCTGACTTACTACTCTCTCCAACAACTTACCAGACCTCCAACACTCACCTGTTCAACTCTGAAACTCGCAAGGACATCACAGTGGTATTTGGGGAAGGGTGAATGACGGTATAGTTGTGATGCTTCAATGTTCTTGATCTATTTCCAGCAACTTCTCATACCCACAATGCACTGTGACTGATGAAGAGACCCGAAATGATATGATCAGTCGGGAGCTGCAGATGTCGCAGAGAGAGAAACAGGAGATCTTGGCCTTTGAGAGTCATCTGGCTGCTGCATCGACAAAACAAACTATCACTGAGAGCAATAGTTTGCTATTGTCACAACTGACCAGCCTTGATCCACAGTGAGTGTCTGGTTGTGAGTGCCAACATTAACCGTCCTTAAATGAGAGTGAGCATGCAATTTTCTTCTAATGGTGTAAATCTGTGCTAGTATACAGGTATCAAAATGTTTCAGCACTTAGTTGGTGTGTATGAGTTCCAGCAAGCGATTTGATTTTGCTGGGTCAAGTAAAATCACAGCCAGGCCCAATTCTAACAATCAAATCAGTACATTGCCTAGCAGAAGACAAAAAATATAAATTCAAATAGACAACTCTGGTCATCCCCTTCCCTCCCTAATACAGTCTACTGAGAACAATTGTTACAATACATTTGTTGAAACTAAATGCAACTCCCCATTTGCCCCAGCTGGGAAGCACCCAGTCTGGACCATTAGTGTCAGGTATTTATACATTATGGGAAAGCAAAATAAAAATGTTCAAGGATGATAAAACTAAAAAGGTATAACTGGCAGGAAACATATTTGAGTTTGCGCATAGGGGCAGGGGCGAGGTGTACTGTAACTGGGTTCCTGATATCAAAATACCAAATATTGGAGATACTGGGAAATCTGAAATATAAATAGAAAATGTTATGTATGGATAGAAGAAATGAAGTCATTTAGAGGAAGCTTGTCAGGAGAACTAGCATGTATCTGATGAAAGGTTGCTGGATTTGAAACGTTAACTCTGTTTACTCTCCACAAATGCTGTCAGACTTGCTGAGTTTCTCTAGCAGTTTCTGTTTTTGTTTCAGATTTTCAGCATCGACTGTTTCTTTGTTTAATTTGTATTGTTTTATTATACTAACATGGATATGTTGGGCTGAATTGCTTGTTTCTGGTCAGTGTATTCTATGAAAGCCTCAAGACCCAAACACGATCCATTCCTATAATCTCAGGAGTGATATTTCAGAAAACCCTCTGGTCTTGTGGACTAAGAAGGGCTGAGTGAACCTTTGTGACTGTGGATTTATCATTTTTCAGTTTAATGACCTTTTGCCACCCTGTCTTTAAGGGGACCTCCTCGCCGGCCACCTCCACAAGTTCTGGAGCAGTTGAAAAGCTTGAATCAGTCGCTTCATCTTGGCCATCTGCTATGCCGGAGTCGCCATCCTGACTTCCTGTTAAACATTATTCAGAGACAGGTGAGTGTGTACTGCATTGGTTTGAGACAGGTGCCATTTAATGATGGGAAGAACTTGGATTTATATCTCACCTTCCACAGTCTCAGGACTGGTCAAAACACCTTACAGTAAATGAAGTATGGTCATATTAGGAAGTCCGAAATGTGGCAGCTTTTGATTAACTCAGGAAAGCAGCAGAAAAGTAGCTTATTTTAGATGGTAATGATGTGAGGCTGGTGCTGACGCACACACTGAGCCACAGACAAAGGACATGAAATTTCTATCATATCTTGTGCAATCTTGAGATGTTCCAAAACATTTCACAACCGTTGAAGTACTCTTGAAGGGTGCATGCAACACTTGATATTCAGTTCCACTTCTGTCAATGGATTTGAATGAGGTTGGGTATGTAGGAGGAGGTCAATCTATTTGTGCTTCCCCTGAATTTCTATCCCAGAAAATCAGTGCCTAATAAAGGCATGTTAGTTTCACCATGGCATTAGATATGGGCAGATGCAATGTATGGAGCTGAAGCTGGTGAATTTATTCTATTGCTCCAGAATGCAGCATGTCAGACGTTTCCTTGAAATGTTTCCAGATTATTGAGATGTTTCCAGTTTGTCTATACAGACTGGAACTCTGGGAAGTAAGTTGCTGGAAATCTAGACCAATCATAGCCATGCAAAAAGTAGGAAGCCAGTTCAATTTTGTGCTTGAACTTTTGAAAAGGTGTTCTGCATCTCTGGAGGAAATATTACATTTCTCTAACACAGGCTTTGTGGTGATAGATACTGTTTATGTTAACCCAGTTAAGGTGGAGTAAACTGTGATAAAGTGTTACAGAACTGTGCCTCGCAGTTGTATTACATCTGAATATGCCTCACCTGTTGCATTATGGGTTATGTATTTTATAGAATCATAGAACAGAATCATTGAATTCTACAGCATAGATTGAGACCATTCCACCCATTGCACCTGTACCAGTTCTTGTAAAGCGTGATTCATTAATTCTATTTCCACATTTCTCTTTTTCTTTCTCTATTCTCTTGAGTGTTTTTCCTTTTCAAGTATCTTTCCAGGTCTATTTAAGTCGTTGTTAGATCTGTTTCCACCACCCTTTAACACTGTGCACTCCATATTATTGCTGCATCTAGAACCACGGGTCATGGTCTCAGGGTAAGGGATAAGCCTTTGAGGACTGAGATGAGTTTTCTTGCCCCTGAGCTAGTGAATCTTGACATTCCTTACCCCAGAGCGCTGTGGAGGCTCAATCATTGCATGTGTGCAGACAGAAATTGATAGATTTCTGGATAGTAAAGACATCAAGGGATATGGAGATCCTGCAAGAAAATGATGGTGAGATAGCCATGATCTAGTTGAATGGCAGTGCAGATTTGAGAGACCAAATGGCCTACTCCTGTTGCTATGTTTAAATAAAAAATCTAGCATCTTCCCTGGAGTTTTTACCAATTATCTGTATCCTGTTGGTTGCTAACCCTCCGGTTCTATCAATTAGTTATGTCAATTATCATCCAATCATATTTAAAATATTATTTGAAAGTTAAAATTCTATTGATTATTTAAGATTTTTATTCCTGCTTTCCTCCCTTCCAGGCCTCGTCCCAGTCCATGCCCTGGTTAGCAGATCTAGTGCAATCGAGTGAAGGATCCTTGGATGTGCTGCCGGTCCAGTGTCTGTGTGAATTTCTGCTCCATGATGCAGCCGATGAAGTGACCTCTACAGAAGAGGAAGATGAGAGTGAGAGCAAAGAGCAGAGAGCCAAGAAACGACAGGTGAGGCTGTAGATGTAAAAGTGGGTCAATCACAATAGCACGTTATTACTGAGAAAGTAAAGATTTGCATTTACACAAGGCCATTCATGATGTTAGGACAATGCTTCCCAAACATTTTCCCCCCAGCTGTGAGGCCAGTTTGTTTGAAAGTCGGCATGACCCCCAGAGTGTGGTTGGAGCAGGGCATTGGGTAGTTGTTGAATGGAGGCAATTGGTTTTATCTGCAATCTTTTTGAAGACTCTGAGATCTCATGGATATAAATCATGTGCACAAGTTTTATGGAGCCTCTGTACCCAATACCAGGGCTATATTGACATTTGCCATTATTAACATTTGAAATTCCAATTCCATTACGAGCATCCAAGGCAATTTACAGTTAACCAATCGCAATGATGCACTGAATAGCCAATCAGGGCACTGAAAGAATAATCAGTCAGCGTGGCAAAATGTTTGTCCCATTGGATTTTGCTCTCAAGTGTGTGGAGTGGAAATTGAACACGTGACCTGAATTGGAAGCTGAAGGAAGTTTGAGAGAGGTCCAATTCTAATATTCTTCTGCAGGCAAAAGTTACCAGTGTTCTGAAAGCATTTACACGAGGGGAACAAATGCTGCAGATTGCATTCTTTTTTCAAGTGACTGCTTTTCTCTGTAATGCAGAGGGTAAGTGGGAGCTTGGATTTGTGTGTTGGAAAGGTGACAGCTCCAATAGCATAGTGTTCTCTCAGCAATGGCATTAGGAGTGTCAGCCAAGGTTCTGTACTCATGTACCTGGAAAAGGGCAGATGGCATCATTGCATGAACCCTGCTTCTTGTTCTCCCATAATACAGAGGCAGCAGAAACAGCGACAGCTCCTGGGCCGCCTGCAGGACCTCCTCTTGGGCCCCAAAGCTGATGAGCAAACTACCTGTGAAGTTTTGGATTATTTCTTGCGGCGTTTAAGCTCCCCACAGGTGGCCTCACGTGTTCTAGCCATGAAGGTAAGTCAGAAGAGAGCGTTCATATAATAAACCAACAGCCTCTTTCCCCTTTCATGAATTTGGAGCAGGTACTGTCTATGTTTTGAAGGAAGACTGGTGTAACGAATTGTGTTTTGACCATCTACTACTGCATTATACTTCCCTTTCTTGGACATGGCAAACTGGGCACCTGCCACTCCTCACCCCTCGCCAAGTGACCGTTACTTATGCATAGCCCCAAACAGTGAATATCATTGGGTTATTTAATTGTGAAGCAAGTGTGCTGATGGTTATACTGCACACAATCCTCATCTGACTGATGTCGCTGCCCTCACCCTGTCCACATAGTGACTTCAGTGCTTCAAAAGCAGTCACAGAATGTTACTGGGGCTCCTCTGCTTATGCTTTGGGCATAACCTGTTCATTTTTTCACTGTTTAAATTTTAGTCCCACTTTGGAAGATTTCTTGTGTGTTAGGGATCTAAAGGAAATATGGTGACTTGGGTACACCGCATATTCTTTCTCATTGGTCCAGGGCTTGTCTCTGGTACTGACTGACTCTGAGAGCAGCCTGCGAGATGTGGAAGAGCGAGACCAAATGATGGAAGAGGACTCAAGTGATGGGGAACCACTCCCTGGATATCAATGGCTCCTGCGGGATCTTCCCAAACTGCCTCTCTTCAGCAGTGTCTGTACAATGACTTCCTTGGCACTGCAACAGGTGGGTGTTGCAGTCCAGCTGAAAACTAGATATCACTAGAGTGTTTTTTAATGATTATTATTAATGTGGAGAGGCTGTCAATGACTGGCAGCCTCAGCTGAGCATCAGGCTTGAAAGAAAATGTGACAACAAAGGAGGGAATTAGCCAAAAAAGAAAACATGTCACTGAAGCTTTTTGCTTTCCATTCTTTAGGACCAATACAAAAATACTATATTTCAAACAATCACACTGATTCAGATTAAAGGAGAAGAGGTTGCTGATTGTTTGGCAAATTGACTCTGGCTCAGATATTGCCATGGTGAAAGCACCAGGATGCTTTTGGCTCCCTAAGTTTCTGGGTAATTCAAGAAAAGTTACAAACCTTTAACATATTCTTTTTGTCTGCAAATAGTAGGTCCCAGCATATGAATATCTGTCGCCCCTAGTGAGCATAAATGTTACACATTAGAAGCTGAACCGATTATCTTAAATGTGATGTTAGTGAAGTGTTAGTGGGGAGCATAAACAATTAGCACACTCAGGATTCTTCCCGAGTGCTGCCCGATTGGAGAGCACGTAACAGTATTCATTTTGATGTGAACTGTTCCTTGTACGACCAATCAAAGGAACATGATTAGCCCAGCCGTTGTTGGTACATGTGTGCCCATGTATCTGGATTGCTCCACCACTGAGATTCATGCGAGATGTTTTTCAGTTGTGTGTTAGACAGAACATCACTTTGACTGATCGAATCAAGCATCATACTCCTTCGGTTGTTTGTGTATTCTTTGAAGCCACAGTTGTAAAATAAAACTATGACAGTCAATTTGTGCACAGCATGATCCCACCAATATCAAGGTGCTGGGTAGACAAACAGGTGCCTGGAAGAACACAGCAGGCCAGGCAGCATCTGGAGAAAAGGAACAGTCAACATTTCAGGTATTATCCTTCTTCAGTCCTGCTGCCTGGCCTGCTGTGTTCTTCTAGCCCCCTGTTTGTCTACCTTGGATTCCAGCATTTGCAGTTTTTTTTGTCTCCAGTATCAAGGTACTAATGATTGGATGAGAGGTGTTTTGTAGTGTTGATGCTCCAGAGATTAATATTGGCCAGGACAGAGCAGAATTGCCTGCTTTTGTTTAAACAGTGTCGTGAAAACTTTTACATGCACCAGAAAGGGTAGACTGAGTATCAGTTTAACGTCTCATCTACAAAGCACCCCTCAAACCTCTGCTGTGCTGCAGTGGAATGTCAGCCTGGATTGTGTGTTTAAGGTTCTATACTTGGTCAGACAAGTTCTCACACAGACTGGGCATCTTTATACTTGCTACGTATTTTGCTAGTGCTTTACCTCTGTATCACCACATGATGGCAACAGACTCCTTTTTTTCCCTGTCTCCTTGAGAAGTAAAGCCTGTGTTGATGGCACTGTGCTGTTTGATGCTGGTTTGGTTGTTAATTTAAGATCTGAGATTGATAGATTTCTGTTAAGTGGAAGTACGCCTGCAAGGACTTGGGGCAAACTTGAGTGTGTGGAGTTAGCTTACAAATTAATGATTTGTTAATTGGCAGAACAGGCTTCTATATTTTGTTACAGTTTGCATGTAGAAACATATGTAGTTGTTATATTTTACTGCTGATTTCAATTTGCAGGCCATTCATGTGGAGACTGATCCCCAAACCATCAGTGCCTATGTCATTTATTTGTCACAACATGCACCAGTAGAGGAACAGGCTCAGCACAACGATCTTGCTCTGGTAAGAAAAATAAAAGCAGATTTGAACAGGGAAATAAGGAAGAAGCAACAAAAAACTATTAGCAATTATTGTCGGGACAAGTTGCTGTCTCACTGTTGTAGCTTGTGAAGGTTTTTCTTTAAATTTCAGTGAGATTTAAGATTTGTTGATTGGATGCATCATTGACACTTTGTTGTTTGTAGGGTTATCGGCAGCAGTTACATGTGCTCCAACACCAACATCACAGTTTTAACGGAAAGAAAACTGATTTACAAAGTGTTTACAGCACAGAAATGGGGCACTTGGCTTAGTAGATTCGTGAGGATATTTATACTTAGCAAGAACATCCTCCTTTCGTCTAACTCCTCAAGATATCCTCCATACCTTTCTCCCTCATGTGTTTATCTAGCTTCCCCCTGTATGTGCATCGGTCTTATTCACCTCAACTATTCCATTTTGGAGTGAGATCCAGTAGGCAACAGTAAACAGATTGGAGATGCACAAGAGGCCAGAATTCAAGAAATGCTAAGATCTTGGAAGGTTATAGAGCTGAAGGATATTAAAGAAGAATGAGACCATGGTAGGATTTGAAAACGGTAAAATTTTTAAATTTGAGAAAACGTCCCATTAGGAATCAATGTAGATTATCAAGATTCATGGGACCATGGGTGATTGGAATGACATGGTTTGCTCTGTTTTAATAAAAACAAAATGCTGTAAATGCACAGAACCATCAAATGCCATTTTGTTATAAAAAAAGAACAGGCTAATAGATTTCTGTTGGAGACCTTTCAGTAGTCTGTTGGGTGTAGCTTATCTTCAGGGATCTGATGGATTTGCACCAAGAATGTTAATTGATCTTCCTCTTTCAAATCCTGTGCTTCCATAAATCCCTCTTCTCCACACTTCAAATTCTTTCCCCTGCCTGTAACCCATCACTCTTTCTCCTTAGGATGTTGCTCGCTTAATTGTTGAGCGGTCCACTATCATGACTCACCTCTTCGCCAAGCACGTCTACCGAACAGAATGTGAGTCCGTGCTGGTGGCACTGATTGCCATCTTCTCTCGTTATGTGAAGCGGATGCGGAAGACCAAGGAAGAAGAGGAGGTGTACAGCTGGGTGAGTTGGTTGTCTTGTTGGAATGGCTGGGAGCATTGGCTCAATTGTAACTGGCAAGTGCTGCCCGTGGGAGCTGGCAGAGTAAGTTCAGATCAGTAGCTCTAAGGACTTGACTCCTGAACTACTCCTTGATGCTGAGAGAGATTTGGGAGCATTCCTAGTACTCTAGTTTTCGTTGAGGAATTTGCCACTTGTCCCATGTCTGCCAAGTTTGTTACAGTCTCTTCGTAGAACTCCTCAATATCTGATGGAATTGAATTGGAATTAGCTTTTAAAATAAAACTACCAAGCAAGACTAGAAATTTGCATGCACTGAGTGAGACAGGGAAAAGAGATGACGAAGTGGGATTGTGCTCATTTAGAAAAGGGTAGGTTAAGCATCGTTCCAGTGAAGGTATTGAAGTATGGTTTGAAGACAGGAAGACACTGATCCCTGGTGATTTTCAAAGAACCAAAGGGACAAGGGAAATTTTTGTTTTTTACATAGTGAGCTATAGTTATATGGAAGGATGGTGGAAGCAGGTGCAAGAAAAACTTCCAGAAAAGCATTGAATATGCACTTGAAAAAGAGAAATTTGCAGAGTTATGGGAAAAGAGCAAGGAGGTGGGATTAATTGGGGAGACCTTTCAAAGTGATAGCACAGGCATGATGGACCAATTGCTTTTATCCTGCATTATATGATTCGATTATTAGATACATTGAGAGGAGACACAGACCAATTGGTCAGGCACTAGCTTGATGTTCTGCTATTTCTAAAATGTTTCCTATACAATGGTATAGCACAGAAGTAGCCCATTCAGCTAATGCCCATGGCTCATTGAGAGAGTTATTTCAATTAGTCTCTTTCTACAGATACCCACAAGTCTTACCTTTTCAAGTAAGTGTATATCCAATTCCCTTTAAGAAGTTACTATTGACTTGAATATTTTTCAAACTTGCATGCAATTTATTTTCTAGGAATCTGACTGCTGCTATAGGGAAAGCATTTCCTTTGTTAACTGTATTTTGTGTTTCTGACTCACAGTCTGAATCTCAGGACCAGGTCTTTTTGCGTTGGACCACTGGGGAAACTGCCACCATGCACATCTTGGTGGTTCATGCCATGGTCATCCTCTTGACGCTTGGACCCCCTCAAGGTATAAACTCAAAATGGGGTTGAGCTGGGGTAAAGGTGTCTGTCTCTGAATTGCATTTACCCTTGTGTGTTTGTGTAAGTAGAGAGGAGAACAAACACTGGTGAAATTAGTTATTATATATGTTGTCCACAACCTAATGGATCGCACACTTGCCTCAGAGTCTGAAGGTTGTGTGATGACTCTCTTCATCCATTACTCAGCTTTCAGAATAACTCATGTTCCAATCCATCTCAGAGACTTGAACACAAAGCACAAGCGGATACTTCCATTGCAGTACTAAGGATAGCACTGGGACATGATCAGGTATACCCTAGATCTCTGTGGGAAGCTAGGGAAGAGATTGCTGGGCCCCCTTGCTGTGAGACATTTGATAGCCACAGGCGAGGTGCCAGAAGACTGGAAGTTGACTCACATTGTGCCACTATTTAATGAAGGTGGTAAGGAAAAGCCAGGAAACTATAGACCGGTGATCCTAATGTTGGTGGTGGGCAAGTTGTTGGAGGAAATCCTGAGGGACAGGATTTAAGTGTATTTGGAAAGGCAAGGGCTGCTTAGGGATAGTCAACATGGCTTTGTGCATGGGAAATCATGTCTCACAAACTTGATTGAGTTTTTTGAAGAAGTAACAAAGAGGATTGATGAGGGGAGAGTGGTGGACGTGATCTATATGGACTTCAGTAAGGCATTCGCTAAGTTCCTCATGATAGACTCGATAATAAGGTTAGATCACATGGAATAGAGGGAGAACTAGCTATTTAGAACTGGCTTGAAGGTAGAACACAGATGGTGGTGTTGGAGGGTTGCTTTTCAGACTGGAGGCCTGTGATCAGCGGTGTGCCACAAGAATCGGTGCTGGGTCCACTGCTTTTCATCATTTATATAAATGATTTTGATGTGAACATGAGAGGTATGGTTAGTAAGTTTGCAGATTACTCCAAAATTGGAGGTGTAGCGGACAGTGAAGAAGGTTACCTCAGAGTACAATGGGATCTTGATCAGAGGGGCCAATCGGCTGAGGAGTGGCAGATTGAGTTTAATTTAGATAAATGTGTGGTGCTGCATTTTGGAAAGGCAAATCAGGGCAGGACTTATACACTTAATGGTAAAGTCCTGGGGGGTGTTGCTGAACACAGACCTAGGCTTCCAGATTCACTGTTCCTTGAATGTGGAGTTGCAGGTGGATAGAATAGTGAAGAAGGTGTTTGGTATGCTTGCATTTATTGGTCAGTGCATTGAGTATAGGAGTTGGGAGGTCATGTTGTGGCCTACAAGGCATTGGTTAGGCCACTACTGGAATACTGCATGCAGTTCTGGTCTCCCTGATATAGGAAGGATGTTGTAAAACTTGAAAGGATTCAGAAAAAATTTACAAGGATGTTGCCAGCGTTGGAGGGTTTGAGCTATTGGGGGAGGCTCAATCGACTGGGGGCTATTTTCCCTGGAGTGTCAGAAGCTGAGGGGGTGACCTTAGAGGTTTATAAAATCTTGAGTGGCATGGATAGGGCAAGTAGACAAGGTCTTTTCCCAGGGTGGGGGAGTCCAAAACTAGAGGGCATAGGTTTAAGGTGAGAGGGAAAAGATTTAAAAGGGACCTGAGGGGCAACTTTTTCTTGCAGAGAATGATGCGTGTGTAGAATGAGCTGCCAGAGGAAGTAGTGAGGGCTGTTACGATTACATTTAAAAGGCATCCAGATGAAGTCTTGAATAAGAACGGTTTAGTAGGATATGGGCCAAATGCAGGCGGATGGGACTAGATTTATTTAGAATATCTGGTCAGCATGGATGTGTTGGACCGAAGGGTCTGTTTTCGTACTGTACTTCTCTGTGACTCTGTCTGGTCATTATCTCAAAGCTGTTTATGGGAGCTTGTTATGTCCAAATGAATTGCTGCATTTCCTACATTGTGGCAGTGACTGCACTTCAAACGTATTTCTTTTTTTAGATCTGTGGGTCTTGGTTGCTTGTTTGTGTGCATGTTTGTAAAGAAAATACTCCTTTTCAAAATCCTTTCCTCCAAATGCATTATATACTCTTAAAGTAGAAAAGGTATTTGTCTTTTATTGAGCTGATGATATGAGGAGGAACAACTCAAATTTTATCCCATTTCAATCTACTTTCGACATTTGCTTAATATCCAGCCAGTTGCAGGGACTGTATGGTGAACTTGGTTATCATCTTGTTTGAAATGCAAGTTAGACGGGATTCTGCTCTCCCTTTACCAGCTGTAAACTGAAGTGATATCAGGAAGTCAGCCCCCATTAGTTCAAAAGAGATGTGAGTCCGCAGTAGAAAATTACTCACAATTTGACACAAATTGGCAATCTTATTCTGACAATGCGGGAATGAGTAGGATGGAAAGTGGGCAATGTCACTGCTGTAATGAGGGCCCTCTGTGAAGTTGGAGGAGATTGGCAGATGAAGAACATTGACCCTAATGTGAATTGACCCTTAGATTTTATGCAAAAAAAATACAATGCCACCCATTGACAAACAGTACTCACCTTCATGTCTCGAAAGGTTAATGGAATGATCACTTCTGGCCTGTGAAAGCCATGTTGCAATGCAGTCATTTTCTTATATAGCTTGGTCATTTGCTTTTTTTTTAAATGATACATTTACTTGCAGCATTGCAAATGCAAGTAAGGAAATGCAGTTTGGTGATTGATATTTCCTAATATGTTGCCTGTCTGATATACCTATTCTTCATAATGCAACAGACTGCTTAATCAACAGTTTCATCTATCAGCTTAAAACATCCCTCCCTACACCACTAATGTATTTGGGGAATTAGAATATGCCACCTACAGCAACTGTGCAAGTCTTCTTGACAGTATCTCTCCAACCTGTGACTTTCTCCTTCTAGAACATAGCCTTCCAAATGTTTTCCCAGTGTGTTTTAATGCCTCAGACTTCTTATGATGGCAGGGTTAGGCAAGATGGTATTTTTAGCTGCTCTGGAGGTTGGCTAGTTCTTGAGTGTGAATGGGGAGACAAATTCTGGGAATTGTTCAATCTACAGGGAAACATACCTTATTTTTGTAGTAGTCAGGCTTCGAAGATCTGTTTGTTATCTCACACCTGCACAACAATTCCCTTCCCCTTCCCCTTCCCCTTCCCCTCCCCCTCCCTCTTTCTCGTCCCCTACCCCCTCACTCTCTCGCTCTCTCCACAGCCCACCCAATAGAATAAATTGCAAGGATTCTGGAATGAAATGCAAGCTTCATGACAGCAATTTCTGTTTGGGAACTCATGACCTCACAATCTTGTCTCATCACTGCTCTCACTGCTTTGGAGGCTATGACCCACAATTTGAGAAGCCCTGATCTAGAACACCAAAGACAGCAAGTGCAGTGGAATGCCAACACCACCAGGTTGTGCACAGTATTAACTTGGATATTTATCAGCTGTTTCTTCATCAAATTCTGGAATTAAAAACCAGTCCCAATCCATGAAACTATTATAAATAAATGTTTCATGAATGCCTTTTAGGGAAGGGAGTCTACTGTCTTTACCTGGTCTGGCTGACACGTGACTGCAGTCTCACAGTAATGTGGTTAACTCTTAATTCCCTCTGCAGTGGTCTAGCAAGCTACGCTGTTCAAGGATAATAAATGCTGGCTTTTCAAGTGAGTTTTTTGCCTTAAAAAAATCCATTCAGGAGTTGTATCATTTGCTGGGCGAGTGTTCATTGACTATTCATAATTGTTCTCCAGACTGTGATGGTGAGCTGCAGCCCATGTAGAGCAGGGGCACCCACAATGGTGTTGAGGAGGGAGTTTCAAGATTTCAACACAGAGACACTGAAGGAATATATTTCCAAATCATGACAATGAGTGATTTCGGGAGAGTTTGCATATGGTGGTGATTCTGAGTATCTGCTGCTCTTGTCCTTCTAGATGGCAGTTGTCATGGGTTTGGAAGATGCTGGCTAAAGATCTTTGGTGAATTTCTGCATTGCATCTTGTGGATGATACATACTGCTGCAACAGCATCAGTGGAGGAGGGAGTGGATATATGTAGATGTGATGCCAGTCAAGAGGGCTGTTTGTCCTGTTTGGAGTCAAGCAAGTGGGGAGTGTTCCATCACACCACTGGCTTGTGCCTTGTAGACTGTGGACACGTGTTGGAGAGTCAGGAATTGAGCTACTTGCTGCTGGATTCCTAGTCTCTCATCTGCACTTGTATGGCTATATTTGTATAGTTCAGTTCATGTTCAATGGTATGCCAAGGATGTTGATAGTGAGGATTCAGCAGAGGCCATGCCATTGAATGTCAAGGGGCAATGAGACACATTCAGTCTTGCTGGAAGTGGTTATTGCGTGTGGCACAAATGTTACTGCCTACTTGTCAGTTCAAACCTTGCTGAATTTAGACGAAAACTGCTCCCAATATCTGAGGACTTGCAAATGGTGCTGAACATCGGTAGGTATCCCCACTTCTGAACCTTTAATGGAGAACAGGCCATTAATGTAGCAGCTAAAAGTTGGTTTGAGTACAACACTACCCTGAGAAGCTCCTGCAGTGATGCTCTGGAACTGATATGACTGACACCCACAGGCACGACCATCTTTCTTCGTGCTAAGAGTTTCTTTCTTTCTCTCTCTCTCTCTCTCATGCTCTCACTTGTCTCCTTCTCCTCCAATTACCGCTGCTGATTTCGGTAGTTTTGCTAAAGACTCTTTAATACCAGACTGCATCAAATCTGGTCTTAATGTCACTCTTGCCTCACTTCTGGAATTCGGCTGTTTTGTCCCTCTTTAAAACCAGGCTGTAATGAGATCAGGAGGTGGATGGTCCTGACAAAAACCAAACTGGGTGTCAGTGAGCAGGCAATTATGAAACAAGTGCTGCTTGACAGCATTGTTGATTACACTTTCTGTTACTTTATTAATGATCAAGAGTAGAATAATGGTGTGGTATTTGGCCAGTATGGATCTGTCCTACTTTTTGTGTAGATGACATACCTGGGCAATTTTACACATTGTTCGGCAAATGCCAGTGTTGTAGCTGTACCAGAGCAGCTTGGCCATGGGCGCAGCAGGTTCTGGGGCTCAAGTCTTCAGTACTATTTGCTGGAATGTTGTCAGCGCCCAAAGCCATTGTAGTATCAAGAGCCTCCAGCCACGTCTTGATATCATGTGAGTGAATCGAATTGGTTGAAGACAATACCTGTGATGCCCGGAGACTCCACTGGAAACTGAGATGGATCATCCACTTAGCATTTCTGGCTGGAGATTGCAGCAAGTACTTAAGCCTTATCTTTTGCACTAATGTGCTGGACAACCCTGTTACTGATGAAGGGGATATTTGTAGAACCTCCATCTCCTTTTTATTTGTTTAGTTATCCACCACCATTCACAACTGATGTGGAAGGACTGCAGAGCTTAGATCTGATCTGTTGCTTATGGAAAAACGTAGCTCTCTATCACTTGCTGTTTGGCCTGTCAGCAGTCCTGTTCTGTACTTTCACCAGACTGATACCTCATTTTTAGGTGTGGCTGGTGCTGCTCCAGGCATGCCCTCTGGCGCTCTTCATTGAACCATGGTTGATCCCCTATCTTGACAGTTTTGGCAGAGTGGAAGATATGCCGGGCAATGAGATTGCAGCACAATGATACAATGCTGCTGCTGATGAGTGCCAGTCTTCAGTTGCTAGATCTGTTTGAAATTTATCCTGTTTAGCATAATGGTAGTGCCACACAACAGGATGAATGGTATCCTCCGTGTGAATATGGAATTCAGTCTCCACAATGACTGTGCAGTGGTCGCTCTTACCAATGTTGTCTTGGACAGATGCATTTGCAGCTGGCAGATAAGTGAGGATCAGGTCAATATGTTTTTCCTTCTTGGCTCTGTCCCCATCTGTCGCAGATCTAAACTAGCAGCAATGACCTTTAGGACTCAACCAGCTCAGTTAGTAGTGGTGCTGCCAAGCCACTCTTAGTTGTGTACATTGAATTCCCCCATCCAGAATATATTCTGCTGTTGCTATCCTTAGTGCTTCCTTCAAAGGGTGTTAACGTAGAGGAATACTGATTCATCAGTGAGGAGTCAGAGGAATACTGATTCATCAGTGAGGAGTCAGCAGTAGGTTGTAAACAGCACTTTGTTTCCTTATCCACGTTTAACTCGGTGCTAAAATACTTCATGGGGTCCAGAGTCAATGTTGGGGGCAGCCAGGGCAATTTTTTTCTGACTGTATACCTCTGTGCTGCCACCTCTGCTAGGTTTATCCTGCTGATGGGACAGGACATATCCAGCAATGGTGACAGTGCTGTGTAAGGCATTGTTTGTAAGGGATAATTCCTTAAGTATGACTGTGCCAGGCTGTTTCGTGACTAGTCTGTGAGACAGCTCTCTCAATTTTGGCAGTAGCCTTCACATGTTTCTGAAGAGGACATCGCAGGGTTGGCAGGACTGAGTTTGTTGCTGTTATTTCCAGTGCATAGATTGATGCTAAGTGGTCCATCTAGTTTAATTCCTTTGAGACGTTTTAATGGTTTGATACAATTGAAAGTCTTCCTAGGGCCATTTGAGTGGGCACTTAAGAGTAAACCACGTTGCTGTGGGGTCTGGAGTCCCATGTAAGTCAGACCAGGTTAGGATGGCAGATTTCCTTCCCTAAAGAACTTTGGTGAACCAGATGGTTTTTACAGTGATTGACAGTGGTTTCGTGGTAATCAGTAGACTTTGAATTCCAGATTTCTTAAGATTCAAATTCCACTATCTGCTATGGTGAGATTGAAACCCTGGTCCCCAGAACAATAACTGGATTACTACTTTAGGGCCAATACTAGTAACCAGTTAGTTAACCACATCCCATGAAAATCATACAAATTTTAAAAGAAGCTTGCAATTTTTTGTGTTTTTAACTATTCTTGAATCATGGTTTGCAGGTGAGAGTGATTTTTACCACCTTCTCGATGTTTGGTTTCCCGAGAGAAAGCCACTCCCCACAGCATTCCTGGTTGATACCTCGGAAGAAGCTCTACTTCTTCCTGACTGGCTGAAACTCCGGATGATTCGCTCAGAGGTGTCTCGATTAGTGGATGCTGGTAAGGACACATTTTTGTTGCTGAGGCAGAAATACAAGCACTGGAACCTTAGCAGTCTGTGCTTTATTCTGAGATTGATACCACACTTTCCATGTTTTACAATTAAATGATCCCAAATGGCTGCTTTGCCTTGTTGGGAGGAAAACAGGATCAGTAACCTTTTGAAACTTTAAAGAGGGTTTTGTGGGTTCAAATTTAGCCTAAGCTAAAAGAAGAAGAATTTTGGTGGTACTTGTACTTTTGAGTTGTTTGTAAGGACTAGACATAGAGCAAGTTGATGCACTGTTAATTTCAGCTATCAGTATATCCAATCAAGCAGCAAATATTTCATCCTACTCTTGACTTGTGTTCATCAACACATGGTATATGGCCCTAAGGCTCTAAGGTAAGCACCAGAGAAATGAAAAGGCTGGACGTTTCTGATGTTGAACGCATGCCAATGGTTTTCTGCCATTATATAGTGTGTGAATATTTCAATTGCTGTGGCTGGCTTATGGAAGAACTGAGTCAAATATCTGGAACAGACATGTGACCGGAGGTGGCCCACTGTTATTCTTCATTTATATAAATGATTTGGATGAGAATTTAGGAGGCATGGTTAGTAAGTTTGCAGATGACATCAAAATTGCTGGTATAGTCAACAGTGAAGAAGGTAATCTGTGACTATAAAGAGGTCTTGATCAATTGGGACAACGGTCCAAGGAGTGGCAGATGGAGTTTAATTTGGATAAATGCAGGGTATTGCATTTTGGTAAAATGAACAAGGGTAGGACTTAAGAAGTTAATGGTAGGGCCCTGGGTAGTGGTGTATAACAGAGAGACCTAGGGATTCGGTTCATAGTTCTTTGAAAGTTGGGTCGCAGGTAGACTGAGTGGTTAAGAAGGTGTTTAGCACACAAGCCCTCATTAATCAAACCATTGAGTATAGGAGTTGGGACGTCATGTTGAGGATTTACAGGACATTGGTGAGGCCACTTTTGGAGTACTATGTGCAGTTCTAGTCACCCTGCTATAGGAAGGATATTATTTAATTGGAGAGGGTTCAGAAAAGATTTACCAGGATGTTGCTGGCACTGAAAGGTTTAAATTATAAGGGGAGGCTCAACAGGCTGGGACTATTTTCCCTGGAACATAAGAGGTTGAAGGGTGATTTTGTAGAGTTTTATAAAATCACAAGGGCCATAGATAAGGTGAATAGTAAGGGTCGTTTCCCTAGGGTGGGGGAGTTCCCTAAGGTGAAAGGAAAAAGATTTAAAAGGGACCTGAGGGGCAGCTTTTTCACAGAGGGTGGTTTGTATGTGGAATGACAGTGATGGATGCAGGCACATTTACAACATTTAAAAGACATTTGGACAGGTACATGAATAGGAAAGGTTTAGAGGGGTAGGGGTTAAGTGTGGGCAGGTGGGTCTAGCGTAGTTTTGGAAACTTCGTCGGCTTGGACGAGTGGACCGAAGGGTCTGTTTCCGTGCTGTTTGACTCTATGACTGTATAACGGACCATAACTTATAGGAGCAGCAACAGCTTGCATTTATGTAGCACCTCTAACTATGGTAAAAATTCTGAGATGTTTCACAGGAGTGTTGTCAGACAAAAATGGATACTGAACTGCATGAAGGCATTTTTAGCACAAGTGAGAAAGTTTTTATTGGTAAGCATCTCAAAGTGGGAGATGGAAGTAACGAAACAGAAAGGTTTGTCAAAGCAATTTCAGAGCCGACAGCCCATGTCATTGAAGGCATGCTTTAAGGGCACAATGCAAATTAGAGATGCGCAATATGGTGGGGTTGGTGGGGTTGGAGGGGTGCAAAGTTCTTGAGGATTGTGCAACTGGAAGAATTATGTAGTTAGGGGGGAGTAAGGACGTTTCATGACTTGAGCACGAGGATAAAACAAGCTAATGATGAGGGTGACAGATGAGTCACCCTGGTTTACAAGGAAGTGATTCAATGGAATGGTTTTGAAGACGCATGACCACGAGAATAAAGCTTGAGCATTTTCAACTTGTCAGTACAAGTGAAGTTGAATTATGATGTTAAATTCCTTGCTTTCCATACATAAATATCTTTACTATACAACTTTCTCATGGTTCAGTGTGATAGTACGTTGTTCTTCCTCAAGGAGGAAACATTCTGTCCTTGCACAGTCCAAAGAGTCACCTCTATCCCCTATTCCCCTGGATTTTTACTACCACTGCACCACAACAGCCCTCATTCTTCAGGTAGTGTTCTACGCCACAACACCTTCAACTGCTGCATTAATGACCATCCCTCCACCAGAAGGTTAGAAGTTGGAGTATTCACTGATGATTCCACAGTGTTCGGCACCATTCATGACTCTGATACTAAAGCAGTCCGTATCCACATACAACAAGACCAGGACAACGTCCAGGCTTGGGCTGATAAATGCCAAGTAACATTCACACTACACAAGTGGCAGGCAATGACCATTTCAGACAAGAAAAGAATCAAACCATTTTCGCTGTATCCTTGTCAATGCCCCAGGGTTACCATTGACAAGAAAGTAAACTGGACTAGCCCTTTAATTAATGCGGCTACATGAGCAGATCAGATCTTAGGAATTCTGTGGTGGATGACTCATAGAATCAGAGAATACAGTGTGGAAGCAGGCCATTTGGCCCTTTGAGTCCATACCAACCCTCCGAAGAGCATCCCACCCAGATCCATCCCCCTACCCAATCCCTGTAACCCTGCATTCCCTATTGCTACACATGCGTAGACACTATGGGCAATTTAGCCTGGCCAATCCACTTAACCTGTACATCATTGGACTGTGGGAGGAAACTGGAGTACCTGGAGGAAACCCACACAGACACGGGGAGAATGTACAAACTCCACACAGACAGTTGCCCAAGGCTGGAATTGAACCTGGGTCCCTGGTGCTGTGAGGCAGCTGTCCTAACCTCTGTGCTAACATATGCTGTCTCCCAGAGCCTGCGTCATTTACGAGGCATAGGCCAGAAGTGTGAATGGAACACTTAGCACTTGTTTGGATGTGTGCAGCTCCAACACTTGAAGCTCAATGTCATCCAGGACAAAACTGCCTTCTTGATTGGCACCCAAACTACCACCTTCTGCATTCATTCCCATCAGCATCAAGCACATTGGCAGCAGTGTGTACCATGCTGATGCACTGCACCAACTCACCAAGACTCCTTTGACAGCACCTTCTAATCCCATGACTTTAATATCTAGAAGGAGAAGGGCAGTCAAACACTATCATCTCCAAACCATGCAACATCCCCACTTGGATCACTTATTGCTGTTCATTCATTGTTACTCGAACAAAATCCTGGTACTTCCTTCCTAACTGTGGGTGTACATAATCCCAAGGACTGAAATAATTTGTGAAGACACCTTAACATCACCATTTCCAGGGCAGATAAGAATGATCAATAAGTGCTGGCTTACACAGCGATGCCCACATCCTACGAATTAATTTTAAAGCAAAGTGCCAAGTGCAGAGGCATTCAACTGTGGCACCCAAGTGTTTGCCATTGCTGTGATTGGCTAGCTTACTATAAAGATAGGGGATTAAACATTGGATCTTCCTGTTTTTAGGGCCATTTGGACACCAGCAAACGCATTTATCTGCTGAGACACTGATGAAGTTGTGACGTGTTTGCAGTCAATCTCTTCTATTCACATTATTCTTTTGCACTCCCCATTTTTGGATTGTTGTCATTTAACATTGCACCACCTTAGGGCAGATAAAGCTTTATAAAGTGACATTAGCTTTATTGAGAATGGCAAGAGATTCAGGAATCCGGTCTTGATCATTAATCCCTGGGTCGGAACATCATTGCAAATCAGCAAGATGGAGCATGCTGACAATAACTGATGTCCAATAAAAGTAAATAAAGCTACTCTCTGAAGTTGATTGCTCGTATAATTAGGTGTCCTGGAGTGGTTTCAAACCTTGGTGTTAAGTTGACAGTTCTAATAAACCACTTGAGGTTCATTCATGGGGTTTATGGTGTCATCTGTACTCTGTGAATTAAATTACAGCCTTGTAATCCCTGCCAGGTGTTTTTTTTAATTGTGAAACTTGGGTGATGGGTCTGAGACCGTATTGCCAGACACCCTCAACAGTGCAGTGAACAGGAGAAACAATGAAATAAATCAAACAAAAGCTATTTATTGTGACACATTTGTGTTTCAAAATGCTTGGATTCTGTGAGCAGGAAGGAAACAGTTGGAGGAGATGTCTTTACTGTGCTGAAGTGGGGAGAAAGTCTAAGGTCAGGCCAAATCTGTATCCATTGTTGCATTATGCATCATCCTGTTTCGTTTTGGTAGCAGCAGTTTTACAGGATCAGGAGCTAAAGTGGAAACCATTTGTATTTGGCTCTAAATGATGTCTGCATCCTGCAGGTTGCATGACTGCTAACCCTCCACTGTTGTTCCCTTTTCTCTTGCAGCTCTCCAGGATCTGGAACCTCAGCAGCTGATCCTGTTTGTTCAGTCCTTCGGAATCCCAGTCTCCAGCATGAGCAAACTCCTCCAATACCTAGACCAGGCAGTGTCCCATGACCCCCAAACACTTGAGCAGAATATCATGGACAAAAGTACGTGTGTCAGTAACAAAGAAATAGCAGGAATTTTGGATGTGGATCTCCTTGTTAACAATTAATTCCCCCTTGTGGAAGCACTGATATACTTGGAGGGTAGGTGCAGGGAAGAAATGGTTCACAGATGATGTTGCTTCTTCAGTGGTCAGTGTTTACGGGTGAGGTCGGAGCAGCTATTTCAATGTTGGACAGTCTCGGGATCGAAGAGAAAGTATGCATTGATATAGCACATTCTATGAAATCAGGGTGTCCCAAAATGCTTTACAACAAATTAACCACTTTTGAAGTATAAGCACTCTTGGAAACACAGTGTTGAAACACAGCAGACAATTTGCATCCAGAAAGTTTCCATAAAAACATCAATAAAATAATAACTAGATAATTTGTTTAACAATTTGTTAATTTAGGGATATATGTTGACCAGAGAAATAGTCTTCAACTTGTGGCCATAACATCTTTAGAGCCTACCTGAGGACGTAGACGGGTTTTTGATCATCTGTTTCATCTGATGTCCAGCAATCCCTCTGTGCTACATTGTGATTGTTAGCCTGGACAATATGCTTAACTTGCCAGAGAGAGACATGAACTGAGAACCTTCAGATTTGGAGGCAACGGTGGTACCCACTGAACTTTTAACCTAACCTTGCCTCGCCATGCAGTTACAAGTGTATATGTCCGGCATAATTCACCTGAAAGAGGTCACATAAAATTATTCTGACTGATTTTGTTATTAATTTACCCCTCCTTCTTGCCAGACAGGCTGCAGACTTTTGCAGTCCCTCAACTCACTAAGATCAGGAGATTGTATTTTAAGAGGTGCTTCTTGTTGTGAGTTGGCTGCTGTTCACCTTACTTGTGCAAGTAGCAGGCCAAAATTAGCAGGGGACTGCATGGGCGCCTCAGTAATCCATCTTGGACCATCTGCTGTATCCAGCACAGTCATTGTGATTAAATTAGATGGTGTTACTGAATGGATAGTTGTAATAAGCAGACTACACAGGGGAATGGATGATTGCAATGCTTCTAATTCAAAATAATGGATGGTAATTAAAAATGAAGGATGAATGATTCAGAAGTGGAAAATTACAAATTTATTGCGGTGTTCTTTATGATACTGGAACATGAAATATATTTTTTTAATTCCCGATTATTTAACATGCTATTATTTCTGGTCTTGCTGTGCTGGTTGTTTGCATCAGATACCCAACGGCAATGCTCACTGCTTATCCAGCATTAAGTGGCTTGTGCTTCTTTTATTCATTTATGTATGTTCTAATTTTCAGACCGAGTTTCACACTGGTCTCCTAGTTTCCAAGGGAGCAAATTTGCCAGCGATAATTTTATTTTATTTTGTTGGCAATAGACTTGTGTTAGTCTCATAATTTCAGAAAATTATAATTGTTTTTAAAATTAAAACTTTCTTTTTGCAAAAGCAAAATACTTTGGATGCTGAAAATCTGAAATAGAAACAAAATGCTGGAAATATTCAGGTCGAGTGTCATCTGTGGAGAGCGAGAGAAACAAATTTTTAGCCCTTCATGTGGATGAACTTTCATCAGAACAGTCGTGAATTGGGATATTAACTCTGTTTTTCTCTCTCTTTTCACACATGCTGTCAGACCTGCTTGGTTATTTCCAACACTGTCTTTATTGCAGCCAATTTTAAATATGTGTAACAGATTATGAAGTTCAGATATTGAATTCATATATTCTAAGTTTGAATTGTGGCAGTACCAACAATTTGTACTGTCATCAAAAGTTCAGTCTTAGAGGGAAAGGCAGTGGAAGGAATGAGCACGGTCATCTTAATGTCTTCTTATAGAATCATACAACACAGGAGAAGGCTATTTGACTCATTGTGCCTGTGCTGACTTTGAAAATATTTTGCTAATTAGATTATTTGCCCAATCTTTCCATATAACCCTCCAGATATTCCCTTTTCATTTCATATAGCCATTGCCTTTTGAAAATTACAACTGATTCTGCTTCCACCACCTATTCAGGCAGTGCATTAGTTGCCACTCTTAAGGATCTCGTCTCACTACTGATTCTTTTTTTTTGGTTATTTTAGCATTCTTTTTCAAGCTTCCCAAATGTTGTCAGTTTATCCAGTGAAGTGTTTAATCCAGAGATCAGGAAATGAGCGGTGATGCTAAGTTAATGGATTTCACAATAGCCTGAGTGCCATGTTTGGCTGCATCAGCTCCGGTTAAACAGGTATAGAATGGTCAGCCTTCCACTTGTTGTTGCTGTTCAGTGATCTATCAAAGGATGCATGTTTGAGCACAGACCATTAAGGTATTTGGAGCCTGTGGAACGAACACCTAGATCCTGATGTCAGTTATGGCTGGGTGGGTAGCTCTCACGTTTGCAACAGAAAGTTGGCCTCAAATCCTAATACTCAGCCTCTAGCAATAAGGTGATGACATTCCAGTGCAACACTGAGAGCATTGTGCGCTGTCAGATGTGCCATCTTGCAGCTAAGATGTTAAACTGGGGCCCAGTGAGCCCACTCAGGGATATAAAAGATCCCATGGTCTTATTTTAACGAAGAGCTGAGGGCGTTCTGCCCAGTATTATTTAGGCCATGTTTTTTCCTCAAACAACAATACTAAAACAAATTCAGACAAGGTAAGAACTGCCGACGCTGGAGTCAGAGATAACACAGTGTGGAGCTGGAGGAACACAGTAGGCCAGGCAGCATCAGAGAAGCAGGAAAGCTGATGTTTTGGGTCGGGACCCATCTTCAGAAAAAACTAAAACAGAATATCAGGTTATTGTTTCAATGCAATTTGACGAAGTTTTCTGTGTGCAAATTGGTCGCTGTGTTTGCTACAACAATAGCTAGGCTTCAGAAGTGCTGTACATTGCCTGTAAAGTGCTTTGGGATGTCTTGTGGTTGTGGAAGGCAGTACTAAATTATATGTCTGTCTTCCTTTAGCCCAGCAAGTAATCATGACTTGGAGAATGGAGAGAACGAAATTTTCAGCGTGCAATGCATTCCAAGGCCAATCTTCACAAAAGCCAGCTTTACCTAGGATACAGTTCTCTAGATAAAATGGTTCATGTAACATACAAACAGTTTGTATACTGTTTACAGAGATCAGAGGGTTAAGTGTTAGAGACAAGTTCTAATTCTCTTGTTTTTCTCACTATAGACTATATGGCTCACCTGGTCGAAGTTCAACATGAGAGGGGAGCAACTGGTGGGCGCACCTTCCACACACTGCTCACTGCATCTTTGCCCCCAAACAGAGGTACTCCTTGCAGTTTGAGTTCTTCTGCATTGTGTTCATTCTCAAATCCCTGCTGATTGCCTCCATAAGAGGATGCTATTATCACATCAAATTTCTATTTTTCTTTTATGCCTATGCAGCGCTTGTTGCTCCAGGGTTACCTCAAGCCCATTAGTGATCATTGTTGTCATTGCTAGCTATGTATTATGTCTGCAGGGTCACAAGTTCTGTCTGTTTTTGTGTCACTGAATATGCTGATTCTTGACCTACATATTTTTGGCACCAGGGCAGGATGTCCCATGAGGTGGTGGGATCTGAAGATAGGGTTTGCTTCCTTTTCTTTCTAGTGTAGCTCTGCCTCATCATTAAGATACTGTGGCTCAAAGCATGATGGGCGGATTGTTACCATTTAACCAACAGGCAGCAAGTTCTGCCCAGTGATTAATCTCAATGTTGCTGTGCTTCATGGAGAGCTTCAGAGTGTCTTTGAAGCATTTTCTTCATGGTGCCCAGTACACTGACCATCTGAAAGTTCAGAATCTGGATCTTATGAGGAAGTCAGCATATTTGGGAGGTGAAATATTTGGCTGACCAGCTGTGGGCTATATATGAATTTTGTTTTAGCAACTTTTTAAGGCAGGCTGAGGTTCTTGTTGCAGGATTGAAGAGATAAAGACTGGCTTGCAAATCTGGTGCAGAGTGGGTGCTGATACTACAGTCACTCGCATACGATAGATCATATAATTTTGTGGTGGTCAGTTTAGTTTTGGCATGAGGGTGACTAAAACTTAGAGTTCTTTCATCAAGGTAGTACTTAACATTCTCATCAGCAAATAGTTGACCTTTGAGGTAAAAAGAACAGACACTGGTCAGGTGGATTTGTAAATAGAGCCAGTCATTGATCCCAGTCAGCATTTCTGAGACATCTGTTCACACCTTACACTCAAGACAGTTATAGTCCTTTCACAATGAAGCAGTTGCAGAATTGTGATGAACTTCCGCGGATGTGCAAATCTTTGAAACAGAATTCACAAAGCCTAATAATTTACTGAATGAAGTGCTTTGGTCAGGTTGATGAATGCATTTGTGATACTGCTATCAGGCACTCAGTGGGCTGGACTAGTAGTGTCTGTGGGGTGGATCAGTAAACAGTAGCCAAGTGGGGGGCACTGAGAGGGGAATGTGTGGGTATTCATCAGGGCCACTGGGGACAGGAGCTTGGTATCAGTTTTCAGCAGAATGACCACACCTACTGAGTCCCAATTGTAATCAGCTGACTGTCCATCGTTCAGGGTGAGAAAAGGACAGGTTAATAGACCATTAAGGAGGCCTACGGGACACATGTTTTTATCAGTCAAGGCATACATTATAAAAGTAAGGAGCTGATATTAAAGCTGTTCAAAACTTTGGTTATGCCGCAGCTGCAATACTATGTGCTGATCTAGCAGTCTCACTATTGGAAGGATGTGATTGCCCTGGAAGCCGTGCAGATGAGATTCACCAGGATGTTACCTGGGTTGGAGTGTTTTAGCTATGAAGTGAGGCTGGATAAACTCAGGTCCTTTTCTTTAGAGCAGAGATGGTCTGAGGGGGACCTGACTGAGGTGTTTAAGATTATGGAGGGCATGGACAGGGTAGATCGGAAGCAGCTGTTCACCTTACTTGAAGGATCAATAACACGGGGACTTAATTTTAAGGTGAAGGGCTGAAGATATAGAGAGAATTTGAAGAAAAGTCTTTTCACCTAAAGCATGGTGGGAATCTAGAAAACACTTTCTAGGAGGATAGTGGAGGTGGGAAAACTCACGTTTAAAAGTACATGCAGGAGCACTTGAAATGTCATAATGTTCAAGACAATGAGCCAAACACTGGAAAGTGGGAATAGTGTAGATAGATTGGCACAGATTCGATGGACTAAAAGGCCTCTTCTATGCTGTACAACTTTATAACTTGGAACTTTTGCCTGATCTGATAAGAAGCCTGAAAAATACTGCAATGTTTTTACTAATATAACCAGTTGGGGGAGCTCTCTCCAAAAGATTCTCTCCTTAATTCAATGGGAAAGTTGCTGGTTTAGTTGGAAGTAATTATTTTCAGATGACTGAGGTGGGTTATTAGCAGCTGCTAAGATGTAGGTTTCTTGTACCTTTTCCCAGAAAATGCAGACCTGAATAGACAGAGTTCAAGCCACACAACACCACAGTGCCCCATCAGGATTCGAAGATCGACACACATTCCTGTAATTGGGGCAGATGAAGACTTGGCTACTCTATTTCTTCAGGTACAAAATAAGAAAATATTTGCCTTCTGCATACGAAGTAATTCTATCGTTGAATCCTAACCCTTTCCGCTGTTTCCTGAGTAGATTTCAATTGCTTTCAAAAACCAGAAAGGACAATTACAGATTTTTCTTTTCCTTTTTAATCCAGTGTTTTATCCATTTTTTTCTGGCTCGTCCTTTAGGAGATTGTGGAGGGTACGGTGTGTAAAGCGAAAGTGTCTAGTTGTGATAGTCAGGCTTTCACTTTGGCAGTCTTGATTAACCTTGTCTTGTACCTCAAATGTCATGATGATGATCTTTCTCTCAGCTTTTCCCCATGAACCCTGACCCAAGATGGAAGAGCTCAAACACACACTCAATCTCGCTTATGCTGCAGCATGCACTGGCCAAGGAACTGAGACAGGTCCACCAAGGCGAGGTGGAAGAAGCAGGAATTGCCATCCGACTGCTTCAAGCTATCTCTGCATTGCTGAACTCCCCACACAGTGGAGCCTTTATGTTGTCAATGAACAGAAATCATGTTATCGCCTGCCCTTTAATGAGGCAACTTCATCTGTATCAGGTACTGTTGCATGCTGGTGCTTGATGTGTTTGAAGCAGACTGTAGGAATATACACATGAGGATGTGTAACTCTGTGTAACACTTGAATATTTTTTCATATGGGCACGTTAATGTGTGACAGTTATAATCGTTGCAAATCACTGCGTATATGTTCAGCATTACATTTAGTTACATTGGCGACTGCTCTCGCAAAATCTCAAATTTAGAATTCTCATCTTTGTGTCCAAAGCCTTCTGTGGCCTCACCCCTCCCTATCATTCGTATTCTGTCACAGTCCCACACTCTGAAATGTCTGTATTCCTCTAATGCTAGCCTACTCCTTTAATTCTAACCTCTGTTCCATGCCCGTTTCTTTTTGTCATTCCAACATTGGTGGATGTGTCTTCAGTCATTTAGGCCCTGAGCTCTAAAATACCCTGCGTTGATTTCTGTAAGGCAACTCTTAAAATCTGTTTCATTGACCAAGCTGTTAATCGCCATTCCTAATATCTACTGAGAATAATCTAGTGAAGGGAATGTTTCATGACATTAAAGTCCAATGTAAACTACAGTTATTATGTAAGCCTCTATATGTACATGTGAGGACATATGTTTTGTGTGACCATGTATTGTGTAAAATATGCTCTGTTCTTGTATAGAGTGCTGGTATTCATACATGTGGCATATTGTTGTAGGTATCCCATATTTTCTTTCCAGTGTTTATTTTGTGAATTTATAAGATGAAAAGGTTCGTTTTTTTTTTGCTAGGATTTTGACTTTGAGCTGATCTGGTTGAAGTCTTCCAGACTATGAAGTGAACTGACAAAATCATTCTGGCAGAGGTCAAAGAAAAAAAAAGAGAGATTTGCATTTATATAGTATGTTTCTCAAGACCTCTAGACACCCCAAAGTGCTTTAAAATGAATGAAGTTCTTTGAAATATAACTACTGTTGTAATGTAGCTATATTACTAGCAGTAAATATGTGTATAGCAAGCTCTGAATGGATGTAAACATAGGAAATAAGAGGCCTTTGAGCCTGTTCCACCATTCAATATGATCATGGCTGATCATCCAACTTCAGACCCTGTTCCTGCTTTCTCCCCATACCCTTTGATCCCTTTAACCCTCAGAACTGTATCTAACTCCTCCTTTAAATATTCAATGTTTCGGCCTCGACCACTTTCTGTGGCAGAGAATTCCACAGGCTTACCACTCTGGGTGAAGAAACTTGTAGTAATGAGTGAACTACTCTAGATCAACTGGTGCCATAACATCTTCCCTGACTAGAAGGGCAGACAGTTTAACCTCTCATTTTAAACATAGCACTCCAACAATGCAATAATCTCTCAGTAAAGCACTGGGCATGTCAGCCTAGATTTTGTGCTCGACTGTCTGCATTTAGATTAAAACCAACAATCCAACCCATAACTCTCTGACTCAGTGCTACCCACTGAGGCATGGCGTGAGACTGTTGGGTGGCTTGATGCTTTGGGGTGAAAGAAGTGCATGAGGACATTCCTGAGTTGTTCCCTGTGTATGTTGGGGTCTGCAATAGAGAACATTATATATTAATCTGTTGAAGGAAACTGCTTTATGAGCTACAGTTATTTTTAAATGTTTTGTATGTTTTGCCCTAATGAATTATATGGAAGCATTATTGTGTATTAGACAGTAATTTTTACAATTACTCATACATTTGCAGAGACCACCTCAGTTTCTAAAGGAACTCAGTTGAAAACAATACAGTTGTCACATAGGCTTATACTTATTTTTAGGACCTCAGTTTTCAACAAACACCCTCAAAGTCTTGGTAGCTTTGAAGTCTGAAATTGTATTAGTGACAGGTTTTAATACTAATTAATTCTGATGAACCCTTTCTCCCTACATGCTTCTTCCTCCTCCTCCTTTTTGTTCCTCCCATCACCACTACCGCAGCAAGTTAATTTCAGTCCCCAAGCGCAGTGAAATTTTCTATGGATCATTCAGCAAACCCAGTGACTCTGTCTTTTTAGTACTGAAATTTAATTGAGTCTAAAACCAGAGAGTTGGTGTTTAGTGGGGTGCAGTTATATATGTTGCTGAATAATCATGAATAGTTTGACTCTAGACAACTTTTCATCCCCAAACTCCAGCCTCCTGTGACTCTCTCGTTCTTTCTCCCCAGTCCTTAGTTAGGCACCCATACATCCTGGATGCAGTCTTGTGAATATCTCTGGTCAGCTGGTGCATTGTACTGGTTGGGAACAGGCTAACAAAACAAATGGGAGCAAATGGAAAAACTCAAGGGTGCACTTGTCACTGTCCACATCCATGCACTTTATGACCCAGTTCAGATGCGCAGTGCACAGGGTTTACCAATCTGGACTCTGCCTTCTTTTAATACCTTTTTTTAAATGGATATGTGTTTTTATGCTCGTGTATTTTTCAAACACTGATAGCTCGTTTCTGCTGGTTCACAGAGGTGTGTGCCAGAGAACTGTGCTGCTGGTTCCCTATTCTACAATGTGGTGATGCAGATGAGGACATGGTTGGAGAATCCTGCAGTGGAGGAGAGTCCACTTCGAGCCCTACTGAAATCCCTAGCCACTCAGTGTTCGCTGAAACACAGAATGGGTGACGGTACTGTAACATCTCCATGTGACTGGCTAATATACAATTTAACACCTTTTAAAATGCAGTCTGGGCTTTAACTAACCACGGCTTAATTTGCCTTATGCATCTTTAACTTTGCCTGTTTTACGTAATGTCTTGAAGACAAGAGAAGAAAGAAGCAGCTTGCTTTATACAACATTCTTAAGATAGTAGACTTCTGAAATGCTATGCAGATAATGAAGTATTTTTAAGCTGTCGTAATGTAAGAAATGCAGAAGGCAATTTGCACACAGCAGGGTCCCACAAGTAGCAATGCGTTAATGACCAGAGAATGTTTCAGTGAGGTGGGCTGAAGGTTAAACGTTGGCTCAGACACCAGACTAAGTTCTGCTGCTCCCTGAGTTTTGCCATTGGATCTTCAATGGCTCCTCAGGATGGATAGATGAAACCTTGGTTTAACATCTCGGGCAAAAGGCAGCACCCCTGGAATTGCAGCATTCATAGAGTCATACAACATGGAAACAAACCTTTTGGTTCAACTCATCCATGCTGATCAGATATCCTAAATACATCTCGTCCCATTTGCCAGTATTTGGCCTGTATTCCTCTAAACCCTTCCTATTCATATACCCATCCAGATGCCTTTTAAATGTTGTAATTGTACCAGCCTCTACCACTTCCTCTGGCAGCTCATTCCATATGGGCACCACCCTCTGCGTGAAAATGTTGCCCCTTTTAAAATCTTTCCCCTCTCGCCTTAAACCTATGCCCTCAATGTTTGGATTCCCCCACCCTGGGGAAAAGACTTAACTGTTCACACTATCCATGCCCCTCAAGATTTTATAAACCTCTATAAGGCCACTCCTCAACCTCCAATGTTCCAGGGAAAATAGCCTCAGTCTATCCAACCACTCCCTATAGCTCCAATCCTGGCAATGTCCTTGTTAATCTTTTTTGAACCCTTTCAAGTTTCACAACATCCTTCCTATAACAGGGAGACTAGAATTGCAGGCAGTATTCCAAAAATGGCCTAACCATATTCCCTGACTTCTCGGAGTGGGCTTTCTGTTTAAGTCTCAGGAGTGGAATTTGAGCACATGACCTGCTGAATCAGAGATGAAATTGCTCACTACTTCCTGTTGGACCTCAACTAACATATTAACAGAAATTGTCTGGTCTACACGTTGAGTTCAATTCATGAAATGCACTTATACTCACTTGTCACTGACACCAGTGATGCACCAGCCATTTCCTTCACGCTGCTTAGCACTTTGTCTTGTGTGGAGCAGTTGTGGTGGTCCCTTCCTAGAAAAGGGGAATGTTAAAGGCAAGATTACTGTTGCTTATCTCTTGGGAGCCTGTTTCAGGGCAGCATTAGGGATGGACTTGAGGGAACACTGACCTGCTGTCTCTGTAACTGTGACACATTGAGTGACCTAGATCATTGAAATGGACAGGAATGAATTAATAACAGAGAGTTGCACCTTTTTCTTTTATCCCGGGAGAATTTTTTTAAAATTCAGCCTCAAAACAGATCATTCTCTAAACAGACAACAGCAAGCTGCCAGCAAATTCTCGGCTTTTATGACAGACTCATGCACATAAGGAAACAACAGTTAGGAAAACTGAATGGGAAATTTGCCAATTATCTCAGAATTACAAAATGTTGCAAGTCCAACTTGAGTGTGGGGTTTTGCTGATTACATGAACATAAGTAAAATTCTCTCTGTACCACAGAGTTTTTTGTAAGTTCCTCTCGTTACATCTACTCTTATCATTGTGTCGTGGCTAAGAATAAATAATGGGATCCTATTTCCACAGTAAGAGCTGGCTTCCGGCACCTGGCAGAACAACTGACCTACCAGCAGGACCAGGAACTGATCGATTCAGCAGTGCAGGGAATAATATCAGCTCTGAAAGCTGGAGAGAAATGCAATGTGGAGCCAGAACTAAAGGCAAGAGGTATGGAATTATATAAACTTTAGTTATCTATATCCTATCTAGTACTGAATTTGTAACTGGCTGGAAATAAAATTCTGGGTCAGCAGCTAAATTGAAAGGTACGAACTGATGATTAATGTGTTACATACTACAGAACAGGAGGGGTTTTGGTCTGCTCTGGTCTATTAATTAACCGGATTCAAAAAGGATCATGTATTTGTGTAGCACCTTTTAACCAGTGAAATACTTTTAGAAGTAACTGTTGTAATATAGGTAGTGTGGAAGCCAATTTGCAGACAGCAAAGTCCCACAAAGAGCAATGCGATTTTAACCATATAATCTATTTTAATGATGTTGATTTGAGGGACAAACATTAGCTCTAGGCCACCAGAATCTCCCCAGTTCCTTGAAATAGTGCAGTAGGCCCTTCTATATCTGTTGTATGAAGAAAGAAGAGCATGAGGTCATTAAGAATGAATCGGCTTGTTCTGGGACTAAAGTCAATGTAAGCCCAGCACATTTTCTTCCCTAACAAAGTTGAACTAGTGGATTATTACAACATTCCAACAGCTTCATGATATCAGTTTTTTTCTAATTTCTAATTTTTTTTAAACTGAACCTCAAACAGACCTCAAACCTCCCAAGTGAGAATTAAATATGTGTTCCCTGGATTATTAGGCCAATTTCAGAATCCTAGACTGAACCAGTCTTGGTTCCTACATCCTAAAGGTCTCACTGTTGTCACTTCATTCTCAAATCCTGATTGTCTACAAGAACTAGATTGGGATGCACATTACTGTTTCTCAGGCCCTTAACACATCATCTGAAAGCAGCATTGTACAGATTAACCAGAGCTATAGCATTTTATACAGCACAGAAACAGGCCAATCAGCCTAACTAGTTTCTATTAGTCTTTGTATTCCAGTGAGTTCCTCCCATTCTTTCTCTCACCTCAGTTTTTTGTCATATCCTATCGTTTCCTTTTCTCACGTGTACCCATCCAGTTTTCTTTCACAAACATCTAAGCTATTTGCCTCAATTACCTCCTAGGAATGAGTTGCACAATCTAACCACTTTGTTGAGTGAATAAATTTCTCATTTCTCTGTTGGGTCTAGCAACTACATCAAATGCATCATAATTCTTTGCAATTGATGTGCTTAGTTGAGTCTAATTAACAAAGAGGCCTTAGAGAAACTAGCCATGCCTTAACAGTGTGGGATGCAACTAAGATAGCTAACAAAAGATTGGGATGTTCTGCCTGAAATCAAAATGCAATCATCCTGAGTTTCTGTATAATAACCTGGTCCAGTCACAGTTTGCATGATGTGTAAGCTATTGACGGAGATGCTGTTGAAGAGGCAGATGTAAAGGTGAGGGTCGGGTATAGTAATGAGCTGTGATGAAAGCATAAAAATCTCCAATTTTTACAGAGTAGGAACAGTGGTCTGTGTAATATATCTAGAATGTTGCTTTTAAAGGAGAAAATATGAGTAGGTTAAAAAAAAAATAATAATGCTACTTAAATTTGAAATCTAGGAATTTTATGAGCATTAAGTGTCTAATGAAATTTTACTTGTCCTGTTGGACAGTTGCATTGGATATAGTACGTTTTGCCACTGAGCTTCTGGGAGGATTTATTTGTCTTTTATTTCTAGCTTTTTGCTGTTTTGGTAATGAAATGTTGAAAATACGCAAATGGAATTGTTTTTAAAATAGGCTTAGAGCTCTTTACTAGTTAACACCAGATATGCCTAACTTTCAGAATTTAGTGCCTTATATACAGTTAAACAGATGAAATGTTTCTTCCTATTTTTTCCCATTTTCTGCTTTGTAAATGGATATTACCTTACCACAACTATCTCAATCCCACAGTTTTAAAGGGTTTAATTGAGATGCGGTCTCCCTATTTGGAGGAACTCTTGACTCTTGTCCTCACCGCCAACTCAGAAATCGACACAAAGCAAGCTGGTTCGGATCCAGTAGCTCTGATAACCATGCTGCTTCAACAGGAAGGAGAAGATTCAGCTGTAAAGGTGGAGATCGACAGTGACAGGTAACCTCAGGGGAATAACGTACAGTATGGGTGGCGTGGAGGGGACAGAGATTATGAACAAATGGCCAGTGCAGGAGTTAAATAAACGGCATTTAGTCATTGTGAATGAGTGGTGTCTGGCCTGTGCTGTAGGAAATGGGGCGCTGCTTCATTTATGGGACATTGTGAATCAGGTTGATGGCATTGAGCTATCTAGCAGTCATTTGACATGTCTTGCAAGTTGGCACAGTAGTTTGTCATCTCTAAAGCCCTGTCGTCCACGCTGATGGTTTGCGTTGCTGTGATACCCCCACCTTAAAGTGGCAGTGCAATTGCCATTGACAAAAATCTTCTCACAAGCTGGAAGTCACAGAAAGCAAAGTTAATCCAGAGACCCAGATAACATTCTGGAGACCTGGGTTCGAATCTCGCCATGGCAGATGGTGGAATTTGAATTCAATAAATATGTGGAATTAAGAATCTACTGATGACCATGAATCCATTGTCGATTGTTGGAAAAACCCATCTGGTTCGCTAATGTCCTTTAGGGAAGGAAACTGCCATCCTTACCTGATCTGGCCTACGTGTGACTCCAGATCCACAGCAATGTGGTTGACTCTTAGCTGCCCTCTGGGCAATTAGGGATGGGCAGTAAATGCTGCCTAGCCAGTGATGCCCTCAGCCTGTGAATTAAAAAAGGAAAAAAACCTTCTTCAATCAGTACTCGGTCCTTGAGCTGCTAGCGCAAAGTGTTGAAGATTTAAGGATTCTTCCCTTTCATTGTAAGTGCTGCTGAAAAGTTGTGCCCTTCTAATCTCTCATGAGGCCAGCTCATCTCAGCTCTAAGTCCCTATTAATCCTCCCAAACTAAGGGAGACCAGCTGAAAACTTGCTAAATCTTGAGCTTTAAGTGCATGGCTCATAATCTCCAGATTTATGAGCAGCATGGATGTTCAACATTATCAGAAACCTTTGTTAAAGCTGATGGAACCCAATCTAAATCAGTGCTATCAAGCAGTATCTGCAAATGAATAATCTGCGATCTGGTGCTCAGTTTGTGTTTCACTATGGCCAATTGGCACCTGACCTCATTACAGCCTTAATCCAGCCAAGGGCATAAGAGCCCAAAGGTGAGAGGAGAGTGATGGCCCTTGACCTCAAAGCATCATTTCACCAAGGGTGACATCAAGGAGCCCAGGCAAAGCTAGAGTCAGTGGGAATCAGGGAAAACTCTGTGCTGGTTGGAGTTACAACTTGCTTAAATGAAGATGGTTTCAGTAGTTGGAGGTCAGTCGTTCAACCTTTGGACATCCTCGGAGTCTTGGCCTCGGCTCAACCATCTAAAGCTGCTCAGTCGTTGACTTCCCCTCCATCCTAAGATCAGAAATTGGGATGTTCACTGATGATTGCACAGTATTCAGCACCGTTTGTGATACTCAGATGCTGAACTGTCTTTCTCCATATTCAACAAAATCTGGGCTCGACTGATAAGTGGCAATTTGCGCCAAATAAGTGACCCCTCCAACGAGAGAATATAACCTTCATTCCTTGATGGTTACCATTGGCCAGAAACTGAACTGTACTGTACAAACTACATAAATACTGTGGCTGCAAGACCAGGTCAGAAGCTAGGAATTCTGATGAGTAACTCACCTCCTATCTCACAAATGCCTGTCCCCCATCTACAAGGCACGGGACATGGATGTGAATGATTTTTCTCCACTTATCTGGAAGAATGATGTTCCAGCAACACTCAAGAAGCTTGATGCCATGCAAGATAAAGCAATCTGCTTGATTTGTATCCCATTCGCCCACCTTCAACATTCACTCCTTTCACCATTGATGCACGGTGGCAGCTGTGTACACCATCTACAAGATGCATTGCAGGAACTCGCCAAGATTCCCCTGGCAGCAGCCTTCCAATCCATAAGTTTTGCTACCTATAAGTACAAGTACAGCAGATTCATGAGAACACCACCACCTGCATGTCCCCCTCCAAGCCACAGACCATCCTGACTTGGGACTGCATTGCTATTCATTCACTGTGGCTGTGTCAAAATCCTGGGACACCCTTCCCAACAACACTGCGGGAGTCCCTACATCCCAAGGACTGCAGCTATGCAAGAAAGCAGCTCACCACATCATTCCCTAAAGCAACTGAAGATGAGTAATAAATGCTGACCTAGCCAGCAGCACCCACATCCCAAGAATAAAGAAAGGAAATCATCAATACAGTGTGGAGCTGGTGGAACATAGCAGATCTGGCAGCATCAGAGGGGCAGGAAAGTCAACGTTTCCGGTTGGGAGCCTTCATCAGCAGTCCTGATGAAGGGTCCCAACTTATTGCTATCTCAGAGAAAATCATCAACTTGTCTTTCTCTTCCAAATACTTTTGTGTCTATTTTATGTTTCCAAGATTCAATCCATAACTTGCAGAAATTCAAATTTCTTTCAGGCAAAGTGACGTAGCCCCTAAGCCTGTGGATCAATTTGTTTTGGCCATTGCTTCAGAGATGATGGACCATTTTAGCCAGAACCTGTCCTCACTCCGTCAGTTATAATTCCCTCAGAAACAAAAATAGAGATTGCCTGACCTGCTGAACTTTTCCAACAGCCTCTGTGGAGACAAATCAGAGTTAACGTTTCCGGTCGAGTGACCCTTCCTCAGAACACCGGAAACTCTGATTTTTCTCCACAGATGCTGCCAGACTTGCTGAGTTTTTCCAGCAATCTCTGTTTTTGTTTCTGATTTACAGCATCCGCAGGTTTTTTTAATAATTTCTTCAGATACCACTAAGTTACTCTTGCAGCATATCATCAGCCTTGCTTTTTTTTTCTTTGTTTATGCAGCGCAGACAGGATTAAGCCTGTATCAGCATCAGGACTATTTATTGACTGGTTTGAGCTCCTGGACCCTGAGGTTATTTCCTGCTGTCCTGATCAACAACTAAAGCTTCTGTTTGCTGATCACAAGGTAAAAAACTAATGATGTATGAGAAACTTTAAAGGAATATTATATCGTACACCAAGGAATAGGCAGCTATGCCTAATTAACTAAATGAACATCAGCAAACTCATTAACCCTGGAGTGTTTCTGCTTCAGTTATGTGCATTCATTGAGACCTCACTTCAATCCAATTGGGGATTTTCTTGCGATTAACAAATTGAGGTTGTTGGTGCTGAAGAAATTGAATCTTTTTGCCACCTACTATCCAAAGCCAGTGTTGGTGATGAGATTTCCTCTGTTGGCCATAGGACTAGTTAGTGCAAATGTAAAGCTCCCTGCAAAACCTTGCAACAAAGAAGGTTTTCTCAGTGCATGCCTTTTCAACTTTCCCCATGTGGTCTGGACTTTCCTGTGACCAACATCTCCGTCTTTGCTTCGCAGCCAGTCTACATCCCAACTTCAGTGAGAACATTGAAAAATAGAGGGAAGGCAGATTGACATGACCAGAAATACAAAAACCTGGAAATACAAAATCAAGGTTTTTGTATTTCTTGAATTCTGGGAGAAAACCCTGGAATTTGCTTCACTGACTTGGTGTCACCCCTCTTCCACAGCATTAGGTGCCAAGGGTCAGTGGAGATGCAATTGCACCCTGCTTCCAAGTGACTTAAGAGCAACCACTCCTCTGAAAATAAATATAAAATGAGAACGGCTGTTCAAAAGCTTACTCCACAAACATCACCTTCACCTCTGAAGAGGTGAGCAAGATGCTGAAAGTCACCAGGATAAGTGACACCTGTCCAGAATTGTTTGAGAACTTGTGCCAAATAGATGGATGTAGTTTACCAAACCTACTTCCAACATCATTGACACTGACATAATCCCAGAAATCTGGCATCTTCCCAAAGTCATTGCCATTCTGAAGTCAGAAAAACTGGTCCCCAGTCCCAGGGTTACCAACCCATTCCCTCATCTTCAATCTTTAAGGTACTTGAACAATTGATCCTTATGGATTTGGAAGCCTCCAAAATAGGCAAGTGGATTTCAGGGAAGGAAAAAGACTGTGCTGACCAGGTCCTTACACTGTTATCATCATTTGAGGCAAAGTTTCTGAATGCTGGATCTGCCTTCATAATTTTTTTTTTAAAATGCATGGCTAGTAACTGTTGTTCTTCAGAGGAGCTTAGGTGTACTTGTACAAAAAATGCAACATCAGCATGTAGGCACAACAAGCAGCTGGGAAGGCAAATAGCATATTGACCTTTATTGCAAGGGAATTGGAGTACAAGAATAAGGAAGTCTTTCTATAAATGTCCGTAGCTTTGGTGAGACCACACCTGGAATACTGTGTACAGTTTTGGTCTTCACATTTAAGGAAGAGAATACTTACATTGGAGGGTATAGAGCAACGATTACTCTGATAGGACAATACTCTCAAGCCAGGAATCAGTATGAGAGACTGAGTAAATTGAGTTGCACTTCTGACATCCAGAGAATATTGAGAGGGGATGTCATTGCATACAAGATTCTGAAAGGCCTTGACAGCATAGATACTATGGTTCTTTCTGCTGGATAGAGAGTCTAGGACACAGGAGCTCAATCTCAGGATTAGGGGTTGATCACCTTAAGATATAGAGACAAGGAGAAATTTCTTCACTGAAAATTGTGACTCTTTGAAATTCTCTATCCGAAAGGTTTACGAGATCATGGGGCATATGTACCGTAAAAAGGTTAGAGTGAATAGGTAAAATGGTAGAAATTTTAACTTATGACCTTGTTCAGTTGCATCTTTTATGTCATTAGATACCTAGGTGCAAGGCTTGTTTTGGTCCTTGCGTTAATTTGTACTCTGAATTGTCTCCAGATAACCGGTCAGCCAGGATTGCAGCTGCTTTCATTCCGACCCTACCTTTTGGCTACCCTCATCCACCAGTCAAACTGGACCACACTGCACCGGTGCATCAACGTTCTGTTGAGTAAGCATGGGGAGCTCAGGTGAGTCATAGCTGCAGGCACAAACCAAGAGCTCAGACATTTACAATTGTACACACAAATAATGAGAGTTTGGGTCACTAAACCACAGTCATGATACCTGCATAAGGGAAGGTCTTACTTAATTAGTTTGACATTTTGTTGGTTAATTTAGAAAATACTAAGATACATGCACATATACTCATGCAAGCACTGACCTCTAAAGGCACACACTAAATACACAGTGTCAGATCTTGAGAGACAATGCTACAGTCAATGTTTTTATTTTTGCAGTTGACCTGATTACTGCTCTTGCCCCATTTGTTTTAATTTCATAACAATCTCTGTTAACAGAAACTCTTCGTCAAAATGACCAATTAGCACAAAATTTGTTTACCTTGTGCTCTCTTCTACTTCCCTTCTTTACTTCCTTTCTTTCTAGTGACCACTGCCTAATTTTTTTTCCTTTAATTGCAGGCTTGACCCCACAGCATGTCTGGATTTCCTCTCAGCCTGTGTGCATATTCCAAGGATCTGGCAAGGACGTGACCAAAGAACTCCACAGGTAGGCTTCACAATGGGATGACATGGGAGAAAAACCAGTAACTATCTTCAGGCAAGTGACAGTGAATTTGAGAAGTGCGCTAGTTCACGAGTGGCATAATCCAGTAAGGACTTCTGAGATTGTTGGGTCTGTTTTCAGAGGACTGGATTAAATCAGGAGAAGTAGAAAAGCATGTTGTGCTCTTCATACTGAGTCACTGCAATGCTCTTAGATCAATATAACTTTAAAATTGAACTCAGTAGTTCAGGTATGATCTCAAGGTGCACTTCCATTACACAAGGGACAACGGAAAACTAGACCCCTTTCCTCAAGAGCTGTTAATCAAAATGAAATCAGTATTCTTTTTGTTAGTCCATGGTATACCATGGTATTGGATGTAGAGTCAAGATGCAGACCAACCACTGTGTATTTGAACAGGCTGGAGAATGGTCTATTGTTCCTACGTTCCTGTTGCTGGCCATAACCTGGAAGCAAAAGGAGAAAATGCTGGAAGTACTCAGCAGGTCTGACAGCATCTGTGCAGCGAGAAATCAAGTTAACATTTCTGGACAGTGGCCTTTTGTTTAGAAACAATTCTGCAATATGATGTTTTGCAAAATCATTCTGTTTTTCACTACAGATAAGTTGAAATCCCAACAGCAAAACTGGAATAATTACACCAATGCAGACACTACTGACAGAGAACAGAACTGTCTTGCAAGGCAATGCATAGGAGCAGGAGCATAGGACCATTGAACTCCCCAAGCTTGTTCTGTGATTCAGTAAGATCATGGCTGATTTGTATCTTAATTCGATGTCCTTTAATCTGCTGGACCAGCAAAATCTAGACAGACACCTTCAGCCGAGCTTTGAAAGATTGCACTTTATTACAAGCAGGGTACACAGCTGTCATCAAATTGAATGATAGAAATTTACCGTTGTGCCTTGTGACTAAACACTGACCCACCCGATGAACACTGACATCATTAATTTATTTGGCTTTGCAAAGGGGCTGTGCAAGTAGCTTACTGACTGTCTTAACCAAGCTGACTTAAAAGCAGGTTAACCAAAGCATGAAATGTGTGAGCAATGCACTTAATTTAATTTTTATTGGGATAGGGATTGAAATGCAACAAAGTTGTGTTAAACTTGTATGAAAGTGGTTTACAGCAAATGAAGAATGCTTGAAATATAGTTGCTGCTGTGCTGTTGTAAATGGGCAGCCAGTTTGCACACAGCAAGCTCCCACAAACAGGTCTCCTCATCTAACAATGCATCATTATCTGCCTCTTCATTATCTGATGTGAATCTGTGTAAACTCTGCCATTTTAGAAACACAGTGAGGAGTATGTCCTGCGCTTGAAGAATGCGGAACTCATCAGCCTGGTAGATATCATTCTTTCAGAGTCCGAAGTGAGAACCTGCAACGGGTCACAAGCTAACAAATCTGCTGAGGATGCTACAGGCACCCTCATCCAGTCACGGCTCCCTCTGCTGCTCAGCTGTTGCCATGGCAATTTGGCTAATGTCAAGAAAGTAACTGAGTATTTGATCAGTTGCATCAAACAGTGGGGAGACAGGTAAATATGAAAACAAGTTTTCATGTTTGTTAACCATTTGGTAGTTTTGTACATGACCACTAATTCCTTATCTTGTAGAACATTTCAGGGCTGTATTATTTAGTGCAATGACTTGCTGCAGTTATTTTTTTGACAGATTGATGGATATCAGAAAGTACCCTTAAGAATTTGAATGCACAGAAGTGGGTTGATTGCTGCATGTTAAGAGTAAATACAGCCATATCTAAGGTTCTGTGTGGATAAATAGGGCATTTGTGATCAGTATACAACAGATACAGAAGTTGTGCAAGGTCCATGAGTATTTTGCTCTTACAGTAATATTATGTTTCAGCAACATTTTTGTACACTCACCACACTTTGTCCATTCAGAAAAGGCTGTTTGTCACTTTTGTTTTGAGTTTCATGCAGGTTGGTAGTGTGAGGCTGATTATCCAGCAAACTTGCTGAACCATAATACCATCCCCTATACCAATGTTGTTCAAAGTCTATGCTCACCATCAAAAGAGAGAGTGTGCACTTAAATAACACCTTTCAAGCCCCACAGCACTTTATAGCCAACGAAGTACTTTTTTAAAAATGTACACACATGGACAAATGGAATAATTTGATGACGAGGTCCCACAAGCAACAATGTGATAATGACCAAGTCATGTATTTTTCTTTTGTGCTGTTGGTTGAGGGATAAATATTGGCCAAAACCATTCAAACTCCCTTACTGTCTTTATTCAAAGAAGCATGTTTGCATCATTTGTGCCCTATTGAGACGTTTAACATTTAATAACACCTCTGACAATGCAAGTGAGCCTCGATTACGTCTGTTGACTAAAGTTTGAACTCAGAATTATCTGACTGTTGTCTAAGTGCCACTGCTGTGGAGTTGATAATTGACCGGCTAGGCGAAGTGCTGGAAAGCTGTGTGGACCCGGGGGATCGTATCCCAGTACAAGCCATCTTTATTTGAATGAGAAGGGGCAAAAATTGCAGGGGTGGAGAAAAGATAAGCAGCTTCACACTGACAGAAGAGATTGTGCAGCATGAAGTGTTTCCTCAAATGAATTTCTCAGAAGCTGAAGTAGTGACAAATTTGAGACGTGCATTATCTTAATCTACAGAATGTAATGTTTAATTAGGCAATAAATTATCAACATCCACCCAATATTTGACCACTGGGGTTTCAAATGAAGATGGATTCTGGGGTTGTGTTCAATTAAAATTTTAATTGAAAGTTGAATGTGACTTTATTCTGAAGAATTGTCAATTTATGTGCTTGAAAGAAGCATAACTTCACAAAGGATTATCATGTCTGAGTGAGTCAAAGGATTTAGATGATAAATGTTGGAAATATGAATGCTATAGCTCATTATTTCTAAATTTAACACTTGCATTAGGAGGCAGGTGAGGGCTGCTAGTGTAATACTGTGGACTTATTTGTGACAAGTAAATGTACAAGGTAGCACTCATCCCTAGCTCCATTAAGTAGTTGACTTGTTGCATTGTGGATTAACAGGGAAAAAACTGCACAAAAAGCAAATTAATGAGTTGCTGGTGGATTATGCAAACTAATAGAGTGTAGGAATTGGGCGAATCATGCTTCACTGCCAAAGGTAGATTATTTTATAACTGCATTCCTGTCCTAAGCACACAGTTCTGTTCAGCATTAAACAGCAAGGAACATCTGATCTGCAGAAGATGTTTACTTTAATTTGCCATTGTTCCTTGCTATTCCTTCCATTCCTGTTCAGTGTTGACTCATACTGAATGCCTTCCTCACTTACCTCCATGCAAAGCATTGAAGATGGCCATTTGGCCCCTTAAGTTTGCTCCACCATTCAAAGACAGGAAGAGAGTTCCAAACACTCTTGACCCTCGTGAAAAGAAATTCCATCTTCCATCTTCAATGCTCGATCTCTCATTTTTCAAACAGTGGCGCCTAGTTCAAGATTCTCCCATAAGGACACAAGAAATAGGAGCAGGAGTAGGACACTTGTCCATTCAAGCCAGTCCCGTCATTCCGTAAGATTATGGTTGATCTACCCAGGCCTGAACTTCTCGATCGTGTAAACTCTTAACAGTGCTCAACTCCCTGATATTTCAGTGATCCTCCATTCCTCTGGAGTCGAGAATTCCAGACATTCACTACCCTCTGAGAGAAGAAATTCCATCACATCTCAGTCTGAAGCAAGTGTCCCATTATCCTGTCAAGCCCCTCGGAATCTTAAATGTTTCAATAAGATCACCCCTCATTCTTCCAAACACTAATGAATAAATACCTAACTTATTTAGCCGTTCTTGATAGGCCAATTCATTCATTCCAGGAATCAGCCTTGTGAATTTCTTTTGAACTTCCTCCAGTGCCAGTATATCCTTTCTAAGGTTTTGGAGTAGATCTGTAGCTCGGGTTGTAGGTGTTGAGGTTGGTTGGCTCGCCGAGCTGGTTTGTTGTTCTGCAGACGTTTCATTACTGTACTTGGTAACATCCTCAGTGCAGCCTCTGATGAAGCGTCGGTGTGTTTTCCTGCCTGGTTTTTAAACTCTGGGGTCCGTTGCCTTTCTTTCGGGTTTCCTCCATAGTGGAATGTATATGGGGTCGAGTCCAATGTGTTTATTAATAGTATGCTTTGTGGAGTGCCATGCTTCCAGGAATTCTCATGCTTGTCTCTGCCTAGCCTGTCCCAGGATCTTGGTGTTGTCCCAGTCGAAATCTGGGACTACTGAAAGTACACCGAAAAGCCACACACACAGACCAGGCATTGAACTTCAATAGTAACCATCCCAGCACACAAACGAAGCTGCGTGTGAACACTATTTAAAAGGGCAACAACACACTGTAGCAACATAGAACTACGCCAAGAGGAGGAGGAATACCTCTTCCAAGTGTTCAAGGATAATGGATATCCAAAGAACTGGGTCAGGAGATGCCTACGGAACAGCATCAGAAAGATTCTACACGCCCCGACACACTCATCACACTATCCTACATCAGGAACACGTCA